TCCTCCTGGCAGTCCCGGCCATTTGTAGGGTCGAGACACTCTTTTTGCCCCTCCACATGGCCTTTGAATATAGTGTCTAATTTTCTGGAATAACAGATGCTTCAGAGCAGCCATGGCCTCAATTTTATTTTTTTTATAGGAGGCATATATTTTATTTTCTGAAATATCTAGCTGATCACCAACAATTTAAGAGCTATATAAAAATTCAATTTCCAAAGACTACAACCTGAGTAGATAAAGACTACAATCCAAAATGTAGAGATTAGGTTAGTGGTATACAAAGTCAAAATCAGATTTGTGTTTAATTGCCTGTTGGATGGATTTTCATGCTAGAATTCTGACATTCCATTTCAGATGTTTCTTCCAGTTTTAGCTCAGCCTTTTGTATATTTTTATTGCTTTCTTGAGAGTTTTTCTACTATCATAAATACATGTTATGAGATAGGAAATGTACATACTACAGAAATAGAATTCCCCTGGAAATCTAGAATAGAATTTAAGCCCAACCTTGATCTTGGAATTCAGTCTGGTGTTTGCACCACTAGGTCCATGGTATTTTATGATGGCTCTACTAAACTAGTTCTCACTTGTACAGACATAAAAACCCACAATCTGTTCCAACAGCTGTTAACGTTCTGCCATCCTTATTTCACATCACACCCTTTCCCCAGCAGTCACTGCTTAAGTTTTATCTGCATTAATTATTTTTTAAAAAGATTTATTGATTTATTTATACAAGAACCGGGGTACAGTCCAGATGCACAGGAGGGTGAGAGGATTCACCAGAGACAGAGTGGGGAGCAGAACAGGCAGACTGACAAAATACACTGCTGACGGTAGCAGCGGGCGTGGCAGGAAAGGTCTGTGTGCCCTGTGAACTCTTGCTGGCTGGCTGGGACTGAACCGGCGCTGCAGAGGCTGTGGACAGCTTCACAGCGGCGCTCAACCGCTTGCGCCATTGTTACCGAACGCCGGCCTCAGTTTCCCTCAGCCAATAAAAGGAAACTAAGTTTGAGGAAAAGGAAAGCGGTTTTATTTGTCGACAAATGAGGAGGGCGGCAGACTCATGTCCGAAAAACCACCGTCCTGCTCTTTGGCAGCGGGCAGGGGTATTTATACAGGGGGAGATGGGTAGGCATCCGCGAAGGAGAGGGGGAAGGGGTCCACACAGAGACAAGTGGGTGCCAGCTCAACAGGGAGATGGATGGGTGTCAGCTCATTCATCTTAAGGGAAGGGGAAGGTGTCAAGGCACAGAGACGGGTGATCGCCAACTTGTTTTCCTTAGGGAGAGGGGGAAGGGTCTGCAGGGAAACCGGTGGCGCCAGCTTTTTTTTTTTTTCTTCCCAAGGGGAGGGGAAGCTGCAACAAATGGGAAAGACAAGTCATCAATCCTGTTAATGCTAGATAAGGGGAATTGCAAAAAATGGGGGAAAGACAAACTTGTTAACTGTATCACCATCAGGGGTGGCCCTCTGGATTAATTTAAAGCAAATCTATGACATAATAAAATTCTATAACATAACATTATTTTTACCTGTAATTCCATTAGATTTCTAACAGGCAAGAAAGAACTTTTTAAAGAGTCACAGAGTCCATGTGGATTTTGACTAAGTATTCCATTTCTGGGCATTTCTCCCAGGCACAGGTCACAGATGCTGCCCACACCTTAGGGAGGGACTGGCATCCGGGCTGTGGTGTATGGACCAGGTCAGGCCATTATTGGTCTTGTTCTTTACAAGGCCAGGCCTCTGGTGGTGGTGGTGATGGTGTTGGGAGGAGGAAGTGTGGGGGAATTATTGTTATCATTAGCAGCTCTGCTCTCTTTTGAAGCCCCTACTTTTTACCAAGTCCCCTGAGATATGCAACCTGACCCAACCACTTTTCTATGAAGGGACAAGATACCCTTGTTCTGCAATTCCCCTTACTTTTCTGGGGACTTGTTCAGCCACCTTCTGTTTTGCCTCACGGCAGAAGTGGGTTGAACTCTCACCAGCTTCCTCTCCACATCCCCCCACCGCACTTTGGGGAAGCCTTTTCTTACTTCCCTTTCTTATCTGCAAGGAACTTCCCCTGCTTCTCCTCCCCTGAAGGAGGTCCTGTTCTTCACAACCCCGCCCCCACCCTGATTCCCCACGTCTCAGTGACAGAGGGGCTGCCAGGTTAAGACGATTTGTGAAGAAAAGTAAAGTACCCAGTTTTAGAATTCCAAAATGTGGTCCATTACAAACTTGTGAATTTTCTCTTGCATTTGCTTTTTTCAAAAAATAATCAGGAAAAAAGAAAATTAAAGCACAAGCTTCAGAATTTACTGCAATGTGGTCTCCTGTAGAAAATTCTGTCTCTTTCTTCAAAGAGGAAATGCAAATGGCCAACAGGTATATGAAAAAATGTTCAACATCCCTTATAATCAGGGAAATGCAAATCAAAACCACATTGAGAGACCACCTAACAACACTAAAAATGACAAATATCAAAAAACCAAGCAACAACCAATATTGGCGATGATGTGGTGAAAAAGGAACTCTCCTACACTGCTGGTGGGAGTGCAAACTGGTCCAACGACTATGGAAAGCTGTCTGGAGGGTCCTCAGTCTACTAAAAATGGAGTTACCATACAACCTGGCAATTCTCTCCTAGGGAATCAACCCAAAGGGCACAAAAACATTGATTCAAAAGACCACCTGTACCCCTATATTTATTGCAGCACTATTTATAATAGGTAAAACCTGGAAACAACCCAAATGCCCAAAAATAGATGACTGGATCAAGAAGATGTGGTACATATACACCATGGAATATTACTCAGCAATCAAAAAAGATAAACTCATGCCATTTGCAGCAACGTGGATGGAGCTAGAAGGAATTATGCTCAGTGATATAAGCCAGAAGAAATAAGAAAAATAACAGATGGTTTCACTTATAGCAGGAATATAGGGGAACCAAATAAGACATCAGTGTAAAAAAGTAATAACAGTACAAAACACAACAAAGCAAAAATGGACAATTATAAACCAGAGACATCCTGCAGGGGAGGAGGAGGGAGAGGGATCAGAGGGAGGGAGGGAGGGAGCACAGGGGACTGAGGTGATGGTGCACGGGTGCACTGGTGAAGGAAATTCTATGGGGACTACACCTGAGGGGGGGAAGCAAATATTGTTTAAAAATGAACAATGATGTAAAAAAAATTAAAAAAAAATTAAAAACAATAAAAGAAAAAAAAGAAAATTCTGTGTCTTAAGCCTACTTATTTCATTCCATGCCAGTTTCCTGAGCTCATAGCAGTCCACACACTGCTGCTTAAGGTGCTGGACAAGGGAATCCACGGGTCACAAGTGATCTGGAGGGGGCTGAGCGGGGGCTCCCTCACGTCCACTCTGAGTCCCCAGAGTGGCACAGGATCAGCCCTGGCTCGTGTATGTGTGTGTGTGCACACGCACACCCATGTGGGGGGGGGGGGAGTAAGTTCTTCCCTACAAAGACAATGGTACCTCCACCTCCCCTGGCGTCTGCATCCAGGCAGACATGAGGTGCCACCAGCTGGTTCTGTGGAGGGCAGATGCCCCTGTAGGTGGTGTGCAGTGGTGGAGAGTCCACTTGGACTCAGAGATCAGGTCTCTCCTGCAAGAGGAGCAGGTTTGACTCAGCGACAGCAGGCCAGATGTCATGAAATGTGACATTAAGTCAGTGACTAAGGAAGGGATAAAGCACTGAGCTATAGGAGGGGGACAGAGGCAGGCATTTTCCTTCATGCTTTAGAATTACTGATGGTTTGGTAACTGACGTCAGAAAGGGGATGCATTCCAGCCGAAGAGGCAGTCCTGTTTTTGTCCTTTCCCACTCATTCATCATTTTTGGGAAAGGGATTCCATGAGTAGCGTGGCACTGGCTCAGAGAAACAGCAAGTGGGGGAAGAAGGTGATTTTAATCTGCCCGCTGTTGTTTTTTTTTTTTTTTCTTCACACACTACCTGCTATGGAACCAGTCACATCCTGCCCCAAACCCACCCCACTCCCTCCTCAGAGCTTGCATGAGATGGTCCTGTCCTCCTTTGCACGCCCTCCTCTGGAGACCTCACCGGCTCTCTCAACCCAAACGTCCCTTCTGGAAAGGTGCTGTGTGTCCGCTGAGCCAGGGGAGACGGGTGTAAGAATAACAAGCGGGAACTGGAGCGGAGAGCGCTGGGAGATTTTCTTGACACCACACCGGTACCCAAATCATTCTCTAGAAATGTTCCCAAATCTTCAAGCAGCCAACAAAATTATTATACTAAAACAGGCCAAACTATAAAGTGAAAAAGTCTCTTTCATCTTAAAAATTTAAGATGCTATCTATGTGTCACAGGTTAGTGCCGGGAGGATCTTGTCAAATTCATCTATGCGTGCATATTTACTATTGCATGTTTTTAGGTCTCTGAACTTTGGTTTAAATGACTTTCACTCAATCGAAATACATTTTTCCTTCATTTTAGTCATGCCTCCTACTGGCCAAATTCATGTTCTTTGTATCCTGGCTTCAGATACAAAAGTACTATCAAGCGAACAGCAGTCAGCTACTCTGGGAATCCAGGGGGAAAAGGACACAGAACTCTAGGCTGGGGCACACCGTCAAGGCTCCAGGCATTGAGTTGGTCTTGCAGGAAGGAGAGCTAAAATTATCTTTTTAATGATGAAAACAAAGCCACATCACGAGTGCCTTCTGAAATAGTGAGTAGTAGAGTATGACAGGAATGGAGGGTTCAGGTTGAGGAAGGTGAGAGATGAGCCTGGGGAAACAGAACATTCATGAAGATGGACAGAGCCACTCTTGCCACCAGTTCACAAGGTAGCAAAGCTCAGGCTGGGCTCCTGACGCTCAGAGATACTCATTTGTTAACTGAGATAAAATCTACAGTTGTTCATTTATCCCCATTCCAAGTTGCAGTAGAGCCTCCTTGATTTCTTATGAAATGTTTCTTCTTTGATGCAAAGTACATGAAGTATCAGATATGAGAAGAAAATGCAAGCTGCTGAGCTGAAAGAATAGCATATAAAATGATACTGGAGTATTACATGCCTGCACACACACATATCCATAAGAGCACATATTTTACAAGTGTAAGAAACAGATTCTGGCTCTATTATTAGAAGAAAGAAATTTTCTACAAAGTCAGGTCAGAAAGAAGAAACAGAAGGTCCTATGGGCTTCATGTCAACCACTTAGGTTGCCCTGCAATGGAAACAGTCTAAAGAGTCGTCACCTTTATGGGCCACTGATTAAGATGCAGTCATACAGAAGAGAGCCTACACAGTGCAGTTGTCTTGATTTCTTCATGTACCCAGTCTTGGCTTGGCGAAAGGACACTATATTTCATAGACTCCCAAAAACCGTACCCAAAAGGGCAGAGACATCCCCCAAAGGAAAATGCCAGTATCCAAAAGAGGCATCAGTACCGGGCAGATGGAGAACCTAGCACCTCCACTACACATACCACCTTAATTCTGGTCTCTCCTGGGGAGGAAGAACCTACATCACTATTCTCTGGAATGGTGAGAATTTTTAACATCTGATGATTTGGCAAGTTTATCCCCAAACCAAACCAAACCAAACCAAAACCAAAACCAGCTATATATATATAGCTTCAAATACACAGGAAAAATGGGCAAACAGCAAAAGGAGAGAAAAGGAATAATAAAATATAAAAATCTCCTTAGAGTTGGGAGCAATGTCCCCAGTGCCCTTCTAGGCATTAATTCCTGGGTTTGATCATATATCTGTGTTGAGATTGAGGACCTGGAGTTCCTTAGGGAGGTGATCATAAGACCAGCAAAGAGGGAAAGAAATAACAAGATCTTGTATATAAAACCCCAAAACACATGAGGAAACTTAATGCTAACAAAAAGTCACTAAAATCAACAAAATCAAAATAGGAAATAATTCTAAAACAGCCTAAAAATGATAATTATAAAATAGGTTGAGGATGTATAAAAAGATAAATAGAAATTACATTTCCCTTTAAAAAACCCTATAAATTATTTAATATAAATGGAAAGGAATGAAATAAAATCAGGTGACAGATGTCTGAATCTGGAACTTAGGGAATAGGGCTGCAAAGATTATTTGAAACCATGAGATATGATGACTTTCACTAAGTGTTTAGTTTTCTTCCTGTGAAGTTACGTCGTTTGGGTTTGCAAGTTTCAGAAGGTCACCAATCACAATTGCATTTTGTTTCCTATCAGAGGAAAACAGGTAAAAGTATGTTTAGATCATCATTATTTTAACATATATTTCATTTTATTGTGCTTTCTCCACTCTAAAATCATTCATAAATTTTTATCTCCTACAAGGATGCAAAGCCTCTGACATTAAAAAAATTCCTCTCCATGGTTGGGATGATGCTTTCATTCTCCCTGTACAACCCACGAGCACTACCCTGGCCTCTGAGATTACAAAGGCTGTGCTCCACAATGGCTTCAAAACTATCCACTTCTCTTAACCTACTTTTGTTGGGATTGAGAGCTTCACAAAATATTTGTTCCTGTCTATGATCTTTTATTATCAATCAGGACTTACTCAAACGCTCTTAGTCCTATGACTTGCATTTGAAACATTTCAAATCTATTTTTCAAACTACACAAGCCCAGTGATTATATTTGTATGAATTTCTAATCACGAACACCAAAACAATGCAGTATTTCTAATATACATTGCTCTCCAACCAAAAAGTATGTGATCCATGTATAAAATGTAAGGAAGCAAATGAGATGTATTTAAATATAAACAAACAAGACTCTATTGTCAACCTAGAGTAGCAAACACTGTGAAAGACAAAATACAGTCAGCCTGTGAAGAAAAAGGCCAACAGCGAGGGGCAGTGATCAGACATTAGGACTAATGAGACAATGATCCCACAGGCCCACCTGAGTCCTAGCCAAGGCAGCACCTTCTTCACTGCCAGGCCACCAGCTACAGGTTGTAGGTGCACTGGCCCTGGAAGGGGCAGCCAGGCCTGGGAGAAAAACTATACCTTGTCTTCTACTTATTCCCATAATTACCCTCATATAGCATGCAGCAGAAAAACTGGTTTTTGGTAATCCTTCAAATATGTGGTCTCAAGCAAACAGCAGAGTGGGAACTCTTTGTGTAAACATGCAAACACACATATATATACATGCACACGAGCACACACACGGTCCAGACAATATGGTCAAGCATGCCATACAAAGTTGTATGTATACTGTGAAACAATCTGAGTTAGGAAACTAGGATTATTGCCACCACCATTTATTATCTAGTTCATAACTAAGTATAGGACACAAGAGTAGCACTAGGAATGCAAAGAAGTCCTGCCCTTAAGGGGCTTACAATCTTATTAGGGAAGTAAAACAGGCACATAAAAGGCTGGACTATAAGAAAGCAGATGCTAACAACAGCCACAAGAATTCAAAAAGCAGCACAGTTTAAGAACACATGATTAGAAGTCACAAAGCCCAGTTCTAGTCTGAACCAGTTGTGCTTGCTAACCCAGCTGCACAACAAAGTAGTGAGATTTTGAGGCTGTCTACATTTGTTTGCATCATCATGATTCTGATTAAAAGTGGAGGAAAGGGTTTCGTGGAGGAGGTGGCACCTGAGCTGGAAACTGAAGGGAGACAGAGAAGGCATTTCAGAGCAGGAAAGAGACTGAGGTAGGCAGAAACATGGGGGTGTTGGAGAGAAAAATAGTGTCAAAAGGAACAATGGGAATGGGTAAATGCGTGGTTATGGTAGCCCTCAGGCACTACCAACCCCTCACGTTTACATCTAGTCAGTTACAGTACATAATTCCAGAGAGTAGAAAATACCAGAGAGAACAATGGCGGCATTTTATCAAACATTTCACTCAATTTCCAGAGTATATAAAATAATTTAACATTATACCTCTACCTCTACATTTAAAATTGACATCAACTGTTCCAATTGTCAAAATGTAAACCAATTTAATCTTAGTTTACATTCTTAGTAAACATAATCTCTTATTTCAAAAGGACATTTGATACAAATTATCCCAATGATTCCAACATTTATTTTCTATTATGTTCCATGCTCTGTGGAAATAGAAACAAGACAAGGTCCCTGTCCTTGAAGCGCCCACAGCCTGGTAGGTAAGACAAATATCAACTGGAACTACCTGGAATTCACTGTTATGCACGTGTGATCAAGGTGTGACCATATAAGGCTATGGAGTAAAAAGGGCGGATCATCCATTCTGATGTCTTGGCAAAGGGTTAGAGAAGAGGGGACAACGGCTAAGGAGAAATGTGTTTGGCAGGGAGACAGTGTCTGTAGGGAGGAGAAGGCTTCCAGGTAGAGGGTGCACGGCCACAGACAGTATAGGAGCATGGTGCAGCCAGACCAGAGTGTACAGGGCAACAGCTGGTGATCTGCACACCTAGACTTAGCTCTATCAAAACCAGGAGCTAATGCTCCTACTAACACTGGTTTCTGAGGTCAGGAAGAAACAGGAGAGAAAGTGAGCAGTGAGGGTCTGTCCCTCACAAGCAGTCACTGTAAGTCCATGTAAGCAAATTAACACTGCTCAGGCCACAGGCCTGCCTTTCCTCATCCTGTCTTCATCCCTTTATGATCTGCTTCCCCTTTACCTTGAAGTCTTCAAAGGAGAACTGGAACTGAAAAAGTACAGGTGAGGAGCAAATGAACAGGACTAGAAATGTATACATATGGCTAATCAGGTTACCATAAAGTAATGGTAACTGTATTGTACAAAAGTCTGCAGACGAAGAAAAACATTCTTTTCAGGAATTTTCTAAAAGTGGCTAATTCACACCAGTGTTGGAAAAATCTCATTCAACATGGGAAAAGTATACAGAAGTTTTGCGGAAGACTCCATTTCCTAAGCTATTTTCCATTAAATATCTGTATTACAAACATAATAATATCACAGGATTTCAAAGTATTTCTCCACATGATTTCAGGCTGATCAAATTGCATTGTTTGGCTTAAAAAATAAAGAGAGAAAATATGTAATTCCAAATCTCAGGTTCTGAGCTACTGCCAAAATATGTTAACATATGAATAAACTTTAGCAAAGAACAAGGGATAACGTAGATGCAAATAAGTCACCCCTTTAGACACTAAATTCCAATTTCTCATATTATAGAGCCAATTCTACAAAAGTAACACCTTCTTGAAATTTCATTTTATAAGGAAGAAAATAAATCTGCGTATTTTCTTTAACATGCATTCTTAAGTTACAGTTAAGCCAAGGCAAACTGTCTCATATGAAAGAAATCTTAGTGTAATCCTAAAAACATGCATATGCATTTAGTAGGATCTTCTCCAATTCTAAATAAATTACATGCATGATATATGTTAACCAATAAAAAAACCAATGAGAATTCAGGACATTTATTTTTTTGCATGGCGATTTAAACTACTATACAACACACAAAACAAACCCACAAAGCAACGGTGTGTAATAGGTAGTGAGAGACACTTAAAATAAGCATATTTAAAGTGCCTACAAACAGGCCTTTTTTTTTTTTTAGGCAACAAAACATTTTGAGTCCTTGACACCTTCTCACACTCACCTAGCACCACTGATGCAAGGACTTACAGTAAACATGTATAATCTCATGCTTAAAACCTAAAGCATGCATTGAATAAAATTTATACATTATGATCTACTTTTCTAAGTATGCAATACATACTTCTTCTAATATTTTATACATTAAATTACCCTGCAGTGTTCTGAAATTTTAACATTAATGCAAAACAACTTTTGAAAGACTTAGGAAATAAGCTTTCAAGGATACCTCCAGGCTGTTTACACAGGCATTGGTTTGGTTAAGTGGGAAAATGGCAGCAGCCTCAAGGTTCATACTGAATGAAAATGGTATATGTGGATGTCAATCCATGTAAAAAAATACATATATACACAGATGGCACAAAGATTGTGCAGTTGGAATCACCAGTGCAAATGCATGCATTTGAGGTACTTATTTTTTCCATGGTCAGGTATAATTATGCATAGTCATGTTTCCCAAGTGCTAATTATTTCAGACCTGATCAAATGAAAAGCTGTAAGAAATGTAAATATAAGATAGTTATATAGGTAACTTCAAAATGCTATGCTTTTAATGAATATTTGTTTAATATTATACATTTACATGTTTAGTTTAAAATATTTACCAATCAATAAATTTTCTCATTGTAAAGAGACTGACTGGTAATTATACCTGGCCAAGTGATTTAAGTAGCATACTTGAAATTCTAGCAAGAACTGTAGTGAAATAGTAAAATACTTCATTATTGCTTCATTGGACTGAGAACCCTAAAAGGCAGAGAAAACAAAGTTCAAGGATGAAAAGTGAACACCCAGAACAGTGGTGCAAGCCCCCAAATGGCCTCTGCTCAACAAAAACTAAGTACTGTCCACATTATCGATGCCGTTGGCATCCACATGGATGTCAGGCTCCCCACACAAAGATGAGGGAACAAAGCGGCTAACAGTGGGACACAGACAGCTCTTAAGCTCTGGTAATTCTTGCTTCAGGCGTTCCAACTGCTCCACTTGAAATATATTTGGCTGTTCAGGCATCCAATCATATATCCTATGATGAAACAAACACAAAACACATAAAATAGTGTAATTTTATTTTTACTTAAGACCTGTCTGACTTAACCTTTCCAGGAGACTTTACTTATACAATGCCAGGAACATCCACATCAGAGTCTTTTTTCCTTTTTTTAAAGATGCAAGTACAAAATCTATTTAAAAATCTTTTTCTCCCCAGTTTTTCCAGTGATATAGAATAGCAGCATTTCCTTTTGTACCCTTGATGTAAGAGCTGATTACAAAGCATTGAATGAGAAAATGAAACCTATCCCTTACTAGTGATTTTTTAAGTATCTTTTCTCTAAGTCAATCAAGAATGCCTTGTGTTACGGATGAGAAGTTACTATGAGCTAAAATTCGTGCCCAGTTCTGACTTCAGAGCACTAAAGATCACTTTTTCCCTATAGTTCATTAAAAATAAAATAAATGGATTAAAAAAAAATCTTTGAGAAAAACTAGAGACAGGCAACAATATTTTGGGAGCTGGAAAACATCTGGATAAATAATAACGGTGTTTCAGTTAGCATAATGGAAAAGACCAAGATGAAAGCCAGTAGTAGAAAAAGCAAAAAGAGTAGTTAAAAGCAGTACCAAATTCCTCTAAAACTCAGAGTCACCTAAATATTGTCAAGTAGCAGAATGACTTGTGGTAGAGATATAGAGTGAAATATTGACGGGACATTCCTCAATAAAGTCCATATATGACAAATCTACAGCCAACATTATACTCCATGGTGAAAAACTGAAAGCTTTTCCTCTAAGATTTGGTACAAGAAAAGGATGTCTACTTGTACCACTACTATTCAACAAAGTATTGGAAGTCTTAGCTTGAGCAATCAGGCAAGCAAATGACAGAAAAGGAATTAGGAAAGAAGCAGTAAAACTTGATTATTTGCAGATGATATGACAATACACATGGAAAACCCTAAAAAATCCACTAAAAACTAATTGAAATAATAAATCACTTCAGTAAAGTGGCAGAGTACAAAATCAATCTGCATCATCAGTTGAGTTTCTGTATGTAAAAAATGAAAACAGAAATCTAGAAAAATAATCCCATTCACAACCATAACAAAAAGAATAACTGGAGTAAATTTAACAAAGGTGAAGGATCCACAAAATGAAACTGTAAGTCATTGATACAGATTCAGTGCAATCCCTATCAAGCTTACAAAAGAAACAGAACAATACTGAAATTCATATGGAAGCACCAAAGGCCCCAAATAACTAAAACAATCCTGACAAAAAAGGAGAGGAAGAACAGTAATATCACATTCTCAGACTTTATGCTACAAAGCTGTAGTAATCAAAAACAGCATGGTAGCAGAACAAAACAGACACACAGACCAATGGAATAAAACTGAGAGCCCAGAAATAAACCTGTGCATCTATGGAAAATTAATCTATAACAAAGGAACCAAGAGTAGATAATGGAGAAATGAAAGTCTTTTCAATGAATGGTGTTGGGAAAACTGGACAACCACATGCAAAAGATGGAACTAGATCACCATTTCACAACTTACACAAAAATTAACTCAAAATGAATTAAAGGATACATGACTGAAAACTGTAAAATATGTTGAAGAAAAAAAGGTAAGAAATTCCACAACACTGGCTTCAGAAATGTCTTTGGGAATTGTCTCCAATGGCAAGAGAAGCAAAAGCAAATACAAACAAATGAGATTAAATCAAAGAAACTATCAGTAAAATAAAAAGACACTCTACTGAATGAGAGAAAATATATGCACATGACAAAATCAAATACTGTCCAAAAATTAAGAACGTAAGAAGAAAAAAAAAAGTACTTCATCTAAAAACAAACTAAAAAAAAATTTGCACATAACACATCTGACAAAGGATTGATCCAAAATATATAAAGAACTCATGCAACTCAACAAAGAGGAAACAATTAACTCGTCAAAAAATGGGCAGAAGAGCTAAATAGATACTTCTCCAAAGAAGACACACAAGATGGCCAATAGGCACATGAAAACATGTTAATCATTACTTACAATCAAGGAAATGCAAATCAAAACCATAATGAGATACCATCTCACACATGAGAATGGCCCACATTAAAAAAACAAACACAAAAAACAAACGAGAAACAAGTGTTGGAGAGGATGTGGGGGAAAAAGGAAACTTGAACCTTTGTACCTGGCTGGTGGGGATGTAGACTGGCCCAGCCCCAATGAGAAGAGTGGAGGTTCCTCAAAATATTAAAATTAGACCTAACATGACCCAGCAATTCCCTCCCAAGTATCTCCCCACGGAATACAAAAACACTAATTCGAAGGTACATAGGCCTCCCATGTTCACTGCAGCCCTATTTACAATAGCCAAGTTATGGAAACAGCCAAAGGACAGAGGCTTAGATGAGAGCTGCTCAGCTCTGAAAAGGACGAACTCTTTGCCATTTGTAATAATGTGGATGGAACTGGAGAGGATACTAAGTGAAATAAGTCAGAAGGAGAATGACCAGATAGTTTCACTTATATACGGAATATAGAGAAATAAAACAAAGGATCAGTCAAAATCAAATCAATAATAAACTCTTAACATCTCTGCAAAACTGAGGCAACCAGAGGGGAGGGTGGTGGGATGGAAGTGAGAGCAGGAGGGACCCAATGGAGCATAGTGGAGGACTACTGTGGTCCTAGTAGTGGGCATCGTGTGAAAATACATACTGGCAGGGTTTAATCTATAATATCCAGAGATATAATGATGTAAACCAACTTTACATCAATAAACATTTTTTTTAAAAAGCAAGAAAAAGAAAAGGGGTAAGGTTTATATATGAGTCAATTTTAATTGTTCAAGTGATGACCCTTATACAAAAATTGAAATTCACATTTAAAAGTGAATTTAATGAAATTCACAATTAAAAATAATATAATAGGTGCATTGGAAGGGGGGGATACTAGGCAAGGGTATTTAGAACCTAAGTTATTAAAAATTGTGTATCTACAGAGAATGAACCATATTATAAATTATTGTTGTATGCAACAAGTGGATTAACTTTAAGAACATGAAGATACGACAAACTAGGGAAAGTACAAATAATGGTTTAAACCATGCAAAACTAAATGGTGTATCTAATGATAATGTTCTTTAAACATGGATGCCTGTTACTATATATTTTTAAATCACTGAGCAGACACAGTGATGATTATTTTTTATAAAAAGAGAGAATACTGCCCAATTTACTCTATGAGGCCAGTTTTATTCCCATACCAAAAAAATGAACATCAGTCTAAAGGTAAGTTAAAGGCCACCTTACTCATCATAAATGCAAAATTCGAAATATCAGCAAATCAAAGGTAGTTATAATTTTACCAAAAAATGATCAGATATAAAATCTACTGTGTTAATGCTGTTGTAAATAAGATGACAGTAGTTTTTGGTAAGACAAACACGCTCTCATCACACTTCTCCCAATATAAATTGCATCAAAGGTTTCAAATCACTAATCATCAAAACATTCCATAAAATGTCTAAATTTGATAACAGAAAAACAAGAGCATAAGCACATTATTTAAAAACACAAAGGTAAGCAACAGAAGAGACGGGTGAAAAAAATGGGCTCAGCCACTAGGCTAGAAATAATAAAAAAGATAAGTACAGGTACAGGGGACTGCTGGTTTTTTATAAGTCTCTTAGAAATAACTGAATTGAGCCTCCCTGGTGGCGCAGGGGTTAAATATCAGCCCTATCAAACCATCATCAGCCACTGGAGCATGAGTGCAATTTCTGGCCAGGGAGTTAACCCACATGATGCAGCAGACCTCTCCTGTCTCACCCGCTGCTCCCCTCAGCAGTGTATTTCAGTAAATCCACCTGTTCTGCTCCCCACTCTCTCTGGTGAATCCTCTCACCTCCTGCACCTCTGGCCTATACCCCAATTCTTGTATGCATAAATAAATAAATCTTAAAAAAAATCATTTTTTAAAAAGAAATACTTGAATTTTAAACCACACACATATGAACAAACAAACTTTCAAAGGTAAAAACCAACTTGGATACAATCCACCTCACTTCTCTGACCCCAGCTAGAGTCAGAGCCTCAACACAGTCCTCTCCTGATTTATGTTCTCATCTCTGCTTAAAATGCATATCCTGTTAAAGTAAATTTAACCACTCCTCAAAATCCATTTTCAAAGCCTCCTCTTTAAAATTATTGTATTGACCCCAGGCCAGGAAGAATTCACTTTTTTTTGTGCCTTACATATCACATGGTATGATCTCCATTACACATCAATATTTGGCTCTAACCAAGTAAGGCCCTTAAAATGATGGACTTGACAAAAATATTCACACCTTACAAAACACTATGTGATATAATCTCACAATACACTTTTCTTGTCTCCACAAAGAAAGGAAAATTTTGCTAAAGCTAACAGTTCCTTCAAACTGCTAATTTAAATTTTGTTTCCCTTTAATGAGCTGAAAATGTCTATTAAAAAACTATGAATTATGTTGCTCAATGCAAAATTGACCAAATTGTTAAAAACGCAGGAAGGCGTTATCTGGGTTGCACTTTTAAAACCAGATGAATTCAGACAAAATAGTGGGGGAGAAAAGCTTTATTTAAAAAGTGATGTAAGTATACAGGACAAACAAGAACTAAATCTAGGGAAAGTTTTTTTTTTTTCCAAACTAGGGCTGGTAAGGATTTTATCACTTAATCTTCACATGATGCTGCCAAGATTAGCAAGTCTGACAATCCCTCAGTAAACGATATCCCTTCTACCCTAAAATTTCTTTCTATCAGCAACCTTTTCATCTCTCAGATGAGTGGCTCTTAATCATATACCTTAAACACCCTGAGAGTTTAAAAAAAAATAGGGAAAAGACATTTAACAAATATTTGAGCACCTACTATGTGTCACATGTTGTTTTAAACTCTGGAGATAGAGCACGAAGGCAGGTAAAACTTCTTGTCCTCATGGAGCTTATGTTTGTGTCTGTGTGTTAGAGGGGAGTAAGTTGGGTTTAGGATAGAGGGCCAGGGAGGAAATAAACAAGTAAATATATAATATTTAAATTATAATATATGAATGTTATACATATATTATATGGGTATGTCCAGTAGTGGTGAATGCTATGGAGAAAAGTCAGGAAGTGCAGTATGAGCAGAGGTTGTTATTTGAATTAGCATATTCAGGAATGGTCTCATGAGGTGACATTTCAGTTTTTTCTTAAGGTTTTTTTCTGAAAAGTAGAAACAGCAGGAGGCCAGTGAGGGGTGGCTTGGGGAATGGCTGCTGGAGATGAGGTCAGTGAGTTTGGGAACGAGCTCATACAAGGCCTTGTAAGGACCTGGGATTCACTCTCGGTGACACAGAAAACCCTAGGAGAGTTTCAGCAGTAAAATAATCTGATGTAATTTAACAGACGTCCACTGGCTGCTGTGCTGATAAAAAATAGCGGAGCAAGGGTGAGGCAGTCATCAGCGAGCCGGCTCCTTCAAGAAGCCACCTGAGTGAGAACTGGGGTGATTTATTGGCGAGGGAAAACAGTAAATTTGGTGAGTAGAGAGATTCAGGATATATTCTGAGGTAGAATCAACAAGATTCTTCTGCCTAACTGGAGTTGGGATGTGAGATAAAGAACACACAGTAATAGAAGATTCTAAGGATTTGACCTGAGACACTGATAGTTGTCCTTTGGTGGTGAGCATGGTGTAGTAACAAACATCCAACAAGATGCAAAGCTATACCCACAAATCATATACAGTGTTGTAAACCAATGCTGCGTCGATTAAAAAAAAAAATAGAATTTTAAAAAATAAAGCAGTTTCAAAAAAAAAAGTTGTAATCTGCACTAAAACCTTCAGTATACATACAATCTGGTATGGAGAATGTTTTAACCCTGTAAAATGAAACACAGGATGTATAGTGCTAGGACCCAGTGGGTATGGCGCTCACAGGGGTGGAGGGCATCCAGCAAGTAGTCCTGAAGGGACATGAAAACATGTAAGGTGACTGAGAGGACAAATCAAGGGTGAAGTCTGCTCAATTTCCTGCCTCTAGCCACAGTCTCTGTACCCTAAATTAACTAGTTACGACGTAAGAGGAGTAAAAAAATGATTATTACTCACATTGTGCAAATATCTGCATCAAACAGAGAACAGGTGTTGACAGCTAGATATAAAAGTTTAGAGGTCAGGGGACAAGTGTGAATTGAAGATATAAAAATTTGGGAATAAAGGTATGAAAAGCCACAAAATTGTTTAAGATCACAAAAAAGTTGGTATAGATAGAGAGGGATCAGAGGGCAGACACCCAAGACGATTCCATACATCTGGTACCAGTTAAATGAATCCTTAACAAGCTTCCCAAGTGACTGTGTTATACTCAGTTTGAAAAAAATCCACTAACCAATTTAAAGATAGATCTCATGATGACCTAGAGAATTTTAACTTAGCTAAGTTTATTATTATGTAAAACTTTGTAAAATGAAAACTACTTTTTTTCTAACATTTCATTAAAATTTTTCATGAAAAATAAATACCTATCATAAATTAGACCATTAACTCCAAATTCCTTCAACTTCCTTCTGTTCTCAGGATCATTTGTATCATCACCCCAGCAGAATATGACTAGTCCCTTAGCTTTAGCCTCTTGAATATAGGATGGGTTTCTGAGCAGGTCTTCAGAATGTGCATTTATCCCCTGAAAGAAGAAAATTAAGTTACTCATGAAAAAATAACTTACTAATGGTGAATACTAATGTCCATACTCTCCACTTATCTAAATGATCAGTGTTCTTCAAAGTAAAGTAGGCAGGGAAAGAATATGTTACTGTTAATTTTATCAAACAAGTTAACAGTCTATTCATATTATATGATTCATAAAATATACTCTGAAAACTACAAAACTTATTTAACCTAGGTCTGCAAGAAAAAATATTTTGTTCTTTTAACCACTTTTCATTCTGGAATCTAATAGTATCCTCATTTTTAAGCAGTCATTTGCTTGTTATACATAGGACAAAAAACTAGCCCATTAGATGTGTAAAATAGCATTAAGCCTTACTGACTATTGCTCTAAAGCATTAAAAATTAAATTCAAACATAACTTACCAGAAGATTTTCGAACTGTGCAAAGCTCATTGCAATAGGGGTTGTCCGTGATCTGAGGTCCATGAGTTCAGGGTATATATCAGATTTTCCTTGAGTCAAAAATAATATAGGATATTTGTTCTGCTTTTGCCGAACCCTAAAAAAAATAGACAATTTCATCAGGGTCATAGTTTCTTTTGAAATTTTAGAAAGTACTAAAAATATAATGAAAACAAACCCCTAAAGGCATAATTCCATTACTAAGATAGAATCACCAGTACAGCCTTTCAGTTAAAAAGAAAAATGCTAAATCTGTCTATATAAGAGTGAAAATATTCTCAGAAATGGGCAACAAGAAAGCCCTCAAGGGCTTACAATCTGGTATGGAGAATGTTTTAACCCTGTAAAATGAAACACAGGATGTATAGTGCTAGGACCCAGTGGGTATGGTGCTCACAGGGGTGGAGGGCATCCAGCAAGTAGTCCTGAAGGGACATGAAAACATGTAAGGTGACTGAGAGGACAAATCAAGGGTGAAGTCTGCTCAATTTCCTGCCTCCAGTCACAGTCTCTGTACCCTAAGTTAACTAGTTACGATGTAAGAGGAGTAAAAAAATGATTATTACTCACATTGTGCAAATATCTGCATCAAATGAAGAAAACACTATTCTCCTCTTCCCAGAATTTTCTAAGACAGTTTTTAAAATTATATCTAAAAACAGATTCATGTCAAAATATGTCGATAAGTTACCATCCCAAATTCCATCCTTTGTGGAAGAAACAGAAAAACAAAAGTCATTACATACCCTCGAATCACAGTGCTAGAAAAAGCAGTATCAAAAACATCTAGTTCATCTCTAATTTTACAGATGAGGAAAGTGGAAGATCTGAAAAGACTAAGTGACCTGCCCAAGACCACACTTATTTAGTGATGGTGCAGCTGTCATAACAGGTACAAACCCTTCTATATACAACATAATTTCATCATCAACAGGCTTTTACCTTAATAAGGTTAACAAAGTAAAACCTAAAATCCTAGAAATTTGCAATCTACCATGACTTTTAAGTATTTTTACATTATCTTCACAAACTCATTACCCCCCGCCCCGAAAAAGCAGTCATTTGTTATACATAGGACAAAAAACCCAACCCTGTTAATTATCAGTTACCAGTTAAAAGTCTCATTCTTTAGGTTTCAGGCAACAAAAAACAAAAATAATTCTCTAAATAGCACCAAGAAACCAAAAGCCCTGGTGATAGTGAAATAGTAAATGTTTAAATATTAGTCATTAAAATAATTCTAGAAGCTCAGAAAACTAAAAATAGCTTCCTAGGAAAACCATTCACAGGGCTCCTTGGTGGTGCAAGGGCTAAGACGCAACCTATGAGGCTGTCCACAGCCACTGCAGCACGAGTTCGATCCCTGGCCAGGGAGCAACCCACATGGCACAGCAGACCTCTCCTGTCTCGCCCACTGCTCCCCTAAACAGTGTATTTTAGTAGATCTGCCTATTCTGTTCCCCACTCTGTCTCTGTGAATCCTCTCACCCTCTACACCTCTGGCCTGTGCCCCAGTTCTTGTATACATCAATAAATAAATCTTTAAAAAAAAAAAAATTCAGAAGGCTCAATTTGAGGACAATTAATAGATTATTCTAATCAAAACAAATTTTGAATGCCTAGTCATGATACCTAAAATTAACTCCAGTGGCCCTCACCCAAACAACCCTCTAACAATGCTTTCCAACCATTTACACATATCCCCATATAATATGTTAAAGAGTTATAATCCTCCAACTAGATTTTAAGTTCTAGGAAGGCAAAACTTCATTTGATCCCAGCACCCAGGAAATGTCTGGCCCATAGCAGTTTTTCAGTAATAATTGTTGAACAAAAGAATGACTAAGTCTTGCAGTAATGAAACACATACGCAGAAATTTATTTTCCTGGTTAACTATTACTAGTTACTGCCACTTAACAAAAAACTGCTTAGGAAATTTAAAACAGATGCTAAGATGGGGTACAAAAATAAAAACTAATCAAAATTCTAAAGTTCTGGCTGCCCAGAGAGTTCTCACTGCTTATTTTGTAAATATGTCCAGAAAACATCTGTATCAACATGCACATGAGACACATGTAATTTGAAATTTTATTACAATACATTCATCACTAATTTTAAGAAGTCCCATATTAATACAAGCATTAGGTATGCTTTATAAAAAGGTTCAACAAGTATTGTGCTTCCTGAAAGAAGTCACACTAGGATTTCAGTTTTTTTTTTTTTATTGAAAGAGAGAAAGGAATAAATGCATTTAAAGACAGTGGAGAGAGAGGAAAGAAATATGTGTTACAAAGAAAAATTACTTACCCTTTGTTGGCAGATCCATTTTATTTCTATGTTAAATCCTACATCTTCTGGTAAAGACTCTAAAACCTAGAGTTTCATTTGTTAGTGATGAATTTTGTTTTGTTTTTGGTGATATGAATAATAGAATAAAAGAAAAAAGGAAACAAGTATTATAAAAAGCAATCTATAAGAAAACATCACTAATAAAGATAAAATGTTTTGTGCTTTGAACATGAACCACTACCTTTTCTCACACTCAAACTGACAACTTAGTTGATGACTAAGTTACATAAGAAAGTCAAAAGAAATCAAATAGCAAAAGCAAGTAGTCTTAGACAACATCTGTGGTAACTGATATCACCACCACAAACATGGATCCTTAACAAGTAAGCAACAACGTATACAGCTTCATTAATTTAAGACATGTGCCATCTTTTCTGACTTGCATTTAGGACAATCTACTACAATACAGTTATATGAAAAACCATTATTTTCACTTGTTTTAAAAGTGATGATACATAACTACTATGCTTATAACCTCCTAAAAAGATGTCACTCCCAAATAAAAGATTATGTCTATATATATAGATATATATATAGATATATATATAGACATAATATAGGCTATATCCACATACATGAACAAATAACATGTCAATTTATCTAAATTAAATTATCTAGACAAGTCTGCAATCATTTTGAAAGTCCTACCTAGAAAATCAAATTGAAAATATGAAGTTTGGTTATTAACCTACAAAAACTGACTGACTTAGTCTCATGAAGACCAGACAAATAGGGCAAAATGAACCTAAAACACTGTGTTTTTAACTTCAATTTACTACAAAAGTTGAGAAGTCATTTAACGTACATAGTATTCATAACAGTAAATAAAGGCACACTAACAGAGCAGTAAGAACAAGCCTGGAATCTAGTCCCAAGTCTACTAACCAGGTACATGAAAAGTAGAGTACTGAAAGAGACTGTACTCAATTTCATATGGGGTCTTCGGACTCTCTTCTCTCATTATCTTTAGCCTTACTTATTTAATGTACTTGTTACGTATTACACCATATAATAATGTATCTTCTCTAAAACCCATCAATGATTCTGAGTCTATGCTAATGTTCTGTTTGACAGTCTTTTTAGTGCCATTTAAGAGACCAAAACAAATTATTCAGATATAATAGAATTAATCTTCTAGTTTTCCCAACGAACTTACCATTTTAAGAGAAGGAAATGGCTGATTTTCAGAGAAGGAATTTTCTTCCTCTACCACAGATTCTGAAATTTTAAAATTCAGTAGATAAAAATGCCATTTTTATTTGTAAGATCTTTTTCTAAATTCTTAAGGCAAAAACAAAAGATTCTGAAGAAATTATAAAACCCTTAAAGTATTTTTGAAGGTTCTTGTATTTTTTATTTTTAACCATTAAAACTCCACTTTCTAGGGCCTCCCTGGTGGCGCAAGGGGTTAAGCACCACACTATGAACCAATCCGCAACTTCTGCAGCTTGAGTTCAATCCCCGACAGGCCAGAGAGCAACCCACATGGCAAGGCAGACCTCTCCTGTCTCGCCTGCTGCTCCCCTCAGCAGTGTATTTCAGTCAGTCTGACTGTTCTGTTCCCCACTCTGTCTCTGGTGAATCCTCTCACCCCCACCCCGCCCCCGCATCTCTGGCCTGTACCCCTCTCTTGTATGCATAAATAAATAAATCTTAAAAAAAAAAAACACTTTCTAAATAAAAATCCTTTATGAAAATTAGTTTGCAACACTTAAGCATCATAGACTGTGGTCCCAGAAGTAATATTTTCTTATAAAAATTGTAGTCATAAGAAATTATTTGTTATTTCTTAGAATTAACTGCTGTATCATATTGCTAAGATGTCTATTTGAAATATAAAATCAGTTCAGCAGTTAGAAATTACGAGAATATATAGTTACTATTGTCCCTTTGTTTCTATTACCATTTAATTCAAAACATTGTATCTTGAAACCCAAGAATTTTTTCAAGAGAGAAAAAAAACTTTAAAAAAAAAAAACCTGTCTTAACACAAATTCAAAGACTAAAATCATGTAAAATTTTTCAAGGTGATTCAGTTAAAGGTAAAAATTTTACTGTAAATAGTGATAAAATATCTACAAGTCTATAAAGTCATACTTATTCTCCATGGATAATTTGTGGTCATTTAGCACTTTCTAATTTCTTCATAAAGGCATTCAAACTATTTTCTTATTGTAACTACAGATAAACATCTATGGAATACCTACTATATGTAGAGTACTATAAATGTCTCTGGGACTATAAAAACATTTTCTTGAAATGTTAACATTCTAGCTGGGGAGAGAGGAGAGATGTAAAATTAAAGGATTAAAAAATGATAACATTAAGACTGAAATGAATGGTACAGACTACTAAGTTCTTTGTGAACTGAAATTAAAGTGGAATTACAAAGAGATTTTATAGGCAGGACAAGCATTGAGGAAACTGAGACACAGAGTGGCTAAGTCAAGTAATCTTCCCAACGTCACAGTAAATGCTAGAGCCAGATTCTAAATTTGATATATTTCTACTTTGCAGTGGTTAATATGGTTAGAAAGACACATAGGTACAAAATTAGAAAGAACTTTGGTCATCAATCTGAGGAAACTCAAAGTTTACAATCATGGTTACTATTACACAGAGCATATACGCACTTGAAAATCAGTAAGTCTTCACCAACAAGAATTACATTTAATAGCCCAATATAGTCATTAAAATGGCCAAGAGTATGTTAAAATGGACATGAAAATATCCTAAATATGCTAACTACAAAGTGAAAACTGTTTCCATGAGTACATACCTTTCAGATCTTTAGATTTTAGTGCAGTCACATGAGTGAGCTAGGAAAAAACATACACACACATACAAAAGGCAATGAGAAAAAAGCCTGTTTTTGAAGATATGGTGAGAAGTACAATTACACAGAAGATCATAATCCAAAGTAAGACAGAATATAAATATTTGTCAGGAAACAATTTATACTCAACTGACCACATTTATCTAGGTATCTTGATGGGAAAGGACGATGATCGTACAAAGTTATATGGTATAATAAAACTACAGAGATCTTTTATTTCTACATATGTTAAAACCAACTATAATATAAAAGGGCAACTGTACAAACGTGCCAAATAAAAGGCTATACAGACCAGAGGCAATCTAAGATTCTGGATGAGGAGGTTAGCCCCTTTGGCCTATAAAGACCTAAGGCCTAGCCCCTTCAGGAATAAAACTAAAAGGATCCATGGAAATTGTTAAAGAAGACAGATGGATTAGCTCAAACCCATTTTCCCCAATAGAACAGAAAACCAAAGCATGTTATTCTACCCATTTTGAATACACAGTAAACTCCATGCGCAAAGAGAGTATTACCATATACAGGCAAGTACAAATAGCCCTTAAGTTAAAGGATAACTTATATTTTATGTTACTATTACTACCTTTAACAACTGCAGTTGGTCAAATGTTAATTCCTTTACTGGAATTTCAAATAATTCAACAGGATCAGCATCAAATTTCTAAAAAGGAAAATAAAGACAAAACATCCCATATTACTACTGAATATTTACACTACACAGACCTAGCATCACAATTTACACACATGTGAAAATAACCATTTGGTGGCTGTAGTTGTCCACACAGGGGAAATTCTTCTTATCCTCCCAGTTCTTAAATTTTGACTTTTTTTTTGTGGGACCCTCGCCAGCGGCCAGGGAATGAACCAGTGCTGCAGAGGCTGTGGGCAGCCTTGCAGCCCAGCGCTCAACCGCTGCGCCACCAGGGGAGGCCCCCTGACTTTTGTTTTTAATGTAGGTGAGAACAATAAGAAGGGAAAAAAAGAGGAAGGAAAAAAAAAAAAAACAGCTGGGAGGAAACTATGGCACTGAAGACACAGCTGAGAACAAAGACATTTGCCAGTCATTTCCCCTATTTCCTGTCATGCTGTGTACATTTTACCTGACATATCCATACTATGTGATTAGTAAGCCAACAAACAAGTGCTATATAAGGATTAATTTCTATCAGTAAGTTTCTAAACCTTTCTAAACCTTTTAAGTTTAGTTACTTAAAAGTTATTTAAAACACAGAAATCAAGGGCCTCCCCAGTGGCGCAGCGGTTGAGCGCTGGGTTGCGAGGCTGCCCTCAGCCTCTGAGGCGCCGGTTCGCTCCCCGGCTGCTCCCCGGCTGCTCCCCGGCCACCGGAGGAGGGTCCCACATGGCGCGCAGACCTCTCCTGCCGCCCGCTGCTCCCCTCAGCAGTGTACTTCAGTCCTTCTGCCTGCTCTGCTCCCTGCTCTGGCTCTGGTGAATTCTCTCACCCTCCCGCGCTTCTGACTGTACCCAGTGCTTGTATAAATAAATAAATAATCTTTAAAAAAAAATTTGTTAAAAAAAAAAAAAAAAACACAGAAATCAAGTGTCATAAAAACCTATGTGATTAGCTGAGAGCAATGATACTCTACTATACTCATATATAATATATATAATATGCTCTATTATTTGAGTATAATAGAATATAATGGGTATAATAAGACACTATATTATGAGTATAATAGGGTGAGAACTCTATTATAAACCTTTTTTCTATGGACAAATTATATATTAGATTTTAATACCATGCCAATTATCACACTATCTTGAGGAAATGAGTTTATCTACCACCAATAAATCACTGATCCAGCAAATATACTAAAATCCACTACATTTATATCCATTCATACATATAGTAGGAGCCTGTATAAAGGCTTTATGTATAAAGTTTTTCTGGAAGGATATAAACTTAATAAGAGGAAGTGGAGAAGGAGAAAAGGAAGATTTAATTTTTAATTTCATAATTTTCTGAACCACCTATACTTTCATAATGAAAATGAATTGGTTTTATAAGAAAAATACCAATTTAAAACTTAACCTAAATATATATAATTCATTACTTTCATTCCCCAATTAATTCATCAAGGTTCAATTTAAGAGCAAGACAAAGTCTGATAACAGGGGATCAGTAATACTCTTCACTTTTAGAAGCAAATTACAACCAGATTCATTAACCCCAATCTTAAATGAGTCAGATCCTTTACCATTCTCTATCCCTTTTCATTTAGCTTTATATTAATATTCCCCTACAATAAAAAAAAAAAAACTGTTCCATTCTATTAACTTATTCTACTGTCATCAAAATAGTGTATCTCCTTCCTTCCATCTCCTAATACCATTTCATAGAATCATAGGGTCCTTCCTTTTCTCTATGTATCATAATAATCCAAACTCCATATGATTGATTAGAATTCACTAGGAGGCAGAACCAGGTGTTCTTGTCATATATTTATAATGCAACATGCAATGCCTGTGGTGCAGTGTTAACAGATGTCAACATACTAGCCTTCATTTTAAAATCACTTCAACAAAAAATTTTAAAGGAAATGTCAAATGAGTTCTCCCACTTTGAGAAGTCACTTGGTTAAACGTACACTGAAGTTTAGGAACTATATAATCATCACAACTATGTTTGTACAAGAACAGCAAATACAATTTTTAAGAAATTAAATGCATATTCTATGAACATGTATTATAACATTACACTTTCTTGACAGTTAAATATTTTAACAAGTCTTTTTTTTTTTTTAAAAAAAGATTTATTTATTTATACAAGAACTGGGATATAGTCAGAGGCGCGGGAGGGTGACAGAATGCACCAGAGATAGAGCGGGGAGCAGAACAGGCAGACGAACTGAAGATACTGCTGAGAGGCAGACGAGGGAGGTCTGCGGCGCCATGTGGGCTTCTCCCCAGGTGGCCTGGAATTGAACCCGCACTGGAGAGGCTGAGGACAGCTTCACAGCGTGGCGCTCAACCCGCTGCGCCACTAGGGAGGCCCAACAATTTTTTTTTGTAGCATGTATTGTTATGTTTAAAGTATGTATAATAAATAAACATACGGTAAAATAATTCATTTTTGAATCTCCTTCTGGACCTCTCTATCTTGTATTCCTCTCCATTCTCACTATCTCCACTCTAGTTCAGGTTTACAGCATTACTGCTCCCTTTGCATCCAGCCTCTAATTGCTTAAATTCCTATTATATCAGGTTCCAAATTATTAAGCTTTAAGTTTAATTTGAATGTTTCCCTTTTTGACACAAAATTGTTTCAATTTCCATAGCTCTCAGGGCTAAACCCCGTTTATTGAGGCCCTCCACTATCTGACAACAAAGCATTTTTTCAATTTTATTTTTTATGTGACTCTTTCCCCCTTGAGTGAAAGAAATCATAATATCCCATTGAGAAAAAAACTGAAGATGAAATAGAAGAGTGTTTAGAAAACAAACACTGATAGTTTCCTTCCCTGCCTCAATACATAAACAACAGCAGACTAATACAGGAACAACCTGGAATGTCCTTTTGTTGAATAATGTAATAAAGCAATAAAGACCCTACTCTAGGTAATTTTAATACTCCTTTTTCTCATGCTCTCAATGTTGAAGGAGCTTGAGGAAAGAACTCGCAACAATTCACCAAGAAAATTAATTGATCATCTCTACTTATTAAACGTATAACAAGCATCTTAGTTTTAAGATCTTTTATTATTTTATTTTTTCTATTTTATGTATTTTTTTACACCATTTTTCATTTTTGCACAATGTATGCATTTTCATGTTGGTCACAGTCCCCATACAATTCCCACCACCCTTGTTTGGATCCTACTCCCTTCTCCTCCATCTGTAGTGTGTCTCTGGTTTATAATTGCTTGTTGATTTTGATTTTTACTTTATTATATTTAGTCTTTTTCCCGATCCCTTATTTAGGTTTTCTAAATTCCTGCTATGAGTGAGACCATCTGGTATTTTTCTTTTTCTTTCTGGCTTATTTCACTGAGCATGATCCCTTCCAGCTCCATCCATGTTGCTGCAAATTGTATATCTTTTTTGATTGCTGAATAATATTCCATTGTGTATATGTACAATATCTTCTTGATCCAATCATCTATTTTTGGGCATTTGGGTTGTTTCCATAGCTTAGCTATTGTAAACAGTGCTGTGATAAACACAGGGGTGCAGGTGCTCTTTTGAATTAATGTTTCTGTCTCCTTTGCGTAAATACCTAGGAGTGGAACTGCTGGATCATATGGAAGTTCCATCTTTAGCAGATTAAGGAACCTCCACACAGCTCTGCACAGCAGTTGGACCAGTTTGCACTCCCACCAGCAGTGCAGGAGAGTTCCTTTTTCTCCATATCCTTGCCAACATTTGTTGTTGCTAGTTTTTTTAATATATGCCATTCTCACTGGTGTAAGATGGTATCTCATGTAGTTTTGGTTTGCATTTTCCTGATTAAAAGTGATGTTGAACATTTTTTCATATGAAGAAAGAGTTTTTAAATCTTTTATTTAACTACGACAGTTTAAAATGAAGGAATTTAAACATACCTTTTTCATAGTCAAGCAACAGGTGAGATCATGATACACCACAGGCACAAAATCTTTTGAAAGATGTACATCAAATTCCACAAAGGCTGCACCCTAACAGAAATAAGGGAAACAATATTTGAAAAAATTATATAGCCCCAATACATCTAAAACCACAAGGATATAAGAAACCTTTTGTCAGTGTAAAATTACAGATCTGTCCACAAAAACAAAAATATTCCTCATGAATTATTTAATGCTATCCTTCAAGCTTTTCTAAATTGGTAACAGCTCCTTCTATTATTGCTATTATTAATAATATCAATTATTATTCTATCAATAACAAAAATCATTTCTACTAGGTAGAACAAACCCTACCACCCTTGAATTAGTTTTCTATTAGTCTAAATGTATAATTTTACATAATATCACTCTTTCAGAAAGTAATTTTACTGAGATAAAACTTCAAAACTTGATCCCAAGATTCATGTGAGTGTTAAGAAGTAAGCCAATACACCAAAACTTCTTCAGAGATATTTCTAACATTAAAATAAACCAGCCATTAAATAACTAAAATAAGACAATTCAAAATGTGATGAGCCATAATTTCATTAGACTACAGAAGTAAAAGGCTTCATGAAATCCATTCTCAAAAAGTACAAAGTCCCTGAAAATTCATTAACAGGGACATATTAGTAAATAAACTAAAACTGGTTTCAAATAATGATCTATAGGCCAACATATTAATACATTTAATGCCATCCTTTCAACATAAAAATAAAACTATACAGTATTAATACTTTAAAACAATAAAATAACAAACTACTATAAATCAATCTAAGATGTTATGTATTATAAAATGTATCATTATCTTATTTACCACTAAGGGGAAAAATCCGCCAAGCAAACCATAACTTAAAACTAAAAACACTGTAAAATATATATTCCATCTTCAAAAGTTGTTAAAAATGAAAATGGTTTAGAACAGATGTTTGCTCAAATAAATGATAAAATTAAACACATGACTAATCAAGTTTACTTGCTAAACTATTTCTAAAAAGACTAAGTTAAGATATGTAGAATATGGGCCTCCCTGGTGGCCCAAGAGGTTAAGCACCGCACTATGAAGAAATCCGCAGCCTCTGCAGCACGAGTTCAACCCTCGGCCAGCCTGGGAGCAACCCATATGGTGCAGCAGACCTCTCCTGTCTGGCCTGGGGCTCCCCTCTGCAGTATACCTCAGTAAATCTGCCTGTTCTGTTCCCTGCTCTGTCTCTGCTGAATCCTCGAACCCCCTCTCTTCCCGCTCCCCCCCCACACATCTCTGGCCTGTACCCCAGCTCTTGTATGTGTAAATAAATAAATCTTTAAAAAAAAAAAAAGATATGTAGAATATATTGTGGAAAACAGAAATAAAGAATGAGATGTTCCTCTATTTTCCCCCAGTATAACTTTTGGCACGAGATTTTATAGTCAGGTACAGAGGAAGAGGTGGGGTAAGGGTGAAGTGTTGGATAGGCAAAGTTACAGGAATGTTGATTTTAATGTCGAGTTGCTAAAAAGACAGAAAGTTTAAGAAAACAGACATTAACTCTTTATAATGAATTGGATGAAGAGTTAAGAAGTTTAAACTAATCGAGTTGGTATGCATATGCAGAATATAAACTAATAGACTTTTTAAGTGTTATAAAAGATCGCTATCAAATCCTTCTATAAGTATTATTCCTAAAATGGGTATCTGAGTAGAGCACATTATTCAGCTGATGAAACCAATGTTTAGTGGGAGTATTTTTCTTGCCCCACTCAAAATTTTTTATCTCAAAAAAAGCTGTTTATGATTCCATTGCCATCCATCTCCATCTTCACCATGAATCTAAATGCAAATCCCTAAAAAAATTTCATCTTCACTTAGAAACATATCCAGAAGAAACATAAATACTACCTCATTTAACCTATCATTACAGACTGAAGTAGACTCCTCAGAACCATGTTTTTCTACATCTGCTCTACTTTTAGACTGAGTTCTTTTTATTTATTTATTTATTTATATTTTATTTTTATACAAGAACTGGGGTACAGGCCAGAGGCATGGGACGGTGAAAGGATTTACCAGAGACACAGCAGGGAGCAGAACAGGCAGACGGACTGAAATAACTGTGGAGGGGAGCAGCAGGTGTGACAGGAGAGGTCTGCCTCACCATGTGGGATTCTCCCTGGCTGGCCGGGAATCGAACCCACGCCGCAGAGGCTGCGGACAGCTTCACAGCGTTGCGCTCAACCCACTGCGCCACCGGGGAGGCCCCTGAGTTCTTTTTAAAAAGAAAGGTACACTTACGTGACTAGCAGCATTTCTTAAAGAAGCAATAGTATTTTCTTGAACTTTAGCAAGCCTGAAAGAGAAGAAACATACAGAAGTATAATCAATCTGATAAACAAACAAATATAATAAAGAAGCCAACTATATTTTCAACAACAGATATAGTTTTTACTCTCTATTTTGAGGCTAATTTTGCTACCCTCCCCCTGAAAAGATTGAGACTATTACCTGGTTGGTGTGTACATTTATTCCATAAATGATTATTGAGATTTACAAATTGAATATAGACACATCCTACACCACACATATCTCCCCAAGTGAGATGACTGATTAAGGAAAACCAGCCTTTGCAATGGTATGAAGTAGAGACATAGAAACTTGTTTTTTGTGATGATGCTTCAGATGACATAATACTTTTAGGTAGATTCAGGGAATGGGAAAAGTCTGACACACCAACAGATCAAAGTACGGAAACAGTATCTTGAAATAGATGAGGAAACTGAGACCTAGAGAGAGCAACATGTCAGGACCACAACACACACATACACACACACACACACACTGATGCCACTAGGCTGACTTTTTCTTTTTTTCTTTTTTTAAAGATTATTTATGCATACAAGAACTGGGGTGTAGGTCAGAGATGTGGGGAGGGTGGGAGAATTCACCAGAGACAATGGGGAGCAGAATAGGCAGAGTGACTGAAACACACTGCTGAGGGGACAAGCAGGAGAGACAGGAAGGTCTGCTGAGCCATGCGGGTAGCTCCCTGGCCAGGGATTGAACTCGTGCTGCAGTGGCTGTGGGTTGCTTTATAGTGCCAAGACTTAATCCCTTGTGCCATCAGGGAGGCCCCATGAGGCTGACTTTCTCATCACACTCTCTCTCCTGACTTTTTAATGTCTGTTTCACTAGCAACTCAACAGAGTATTAAAAAGATTAACCAGAATCTTAGGAGAAAGCTGGTCTCTACTTAATTTGAACTGGGAACCCCAATTACCAAGTTACATATAAATCCCAGGGTTAACAATAAAAGGACCACTTGACCATTAGTGAGATAATCAATGTAACCTCATCAAGTATGAGCAGTCAAATATTAAAACTACTCAAATATTAAACCTACTGAGCAGTTGTTGTAGAATTTCCTGCACCTCGATGTCCAACATCCAATGGTATTCTTGGCTTCCAATACTTGGAAAATGAAGATTTCATGTCACAATTGTATCCTGGTAATGGCTTAATAATTATATAGTCAACTTTTGTAGGAAAAAAGAGGGGAGGAAAGGAAAAAATGAAGATGATTAAAAAGGCCATAAGATCAATTACATTTAAATTCCACTCAACCTAGCTTTATCAATTGCTACCAAATAGAAAAAAAGCAAAAGGAAATTGGTTTAAAGCTTCCAGAAAATTTAATAATGTCCCCCCACTGTTTTTGTTTTAGTTAATATTCTAAAAGTAATTCTTATTTAATTTTTACTATTCTCAAAAGTTCATTTTGAAACTAATTAAAATTCTAACTGATCTCTATTTATTTATAAAGGGCCACCCTGTTTCTCCAGGCTTACCTCGTACTTTCCCTATTGTTTTTCTGGAATTTCTGCTCATGATGGGAAGAATAAGGATTCCAGCACTCTTCCCACTCTCAGCAATGGTAGATGATAAGAGGCATGCTGTACCCACATGTCCAGGAAGGGCATCCCCCTGAACTACATGTTCACTGAGATCTTCCTTAAAAAAAAAAAAAAAAAAAAGAGGTTTAGAATAACCTGAATTCTTATACTTTAATCTTTTCCATGTAAAGATGAAAAAACTCCATTAAAGTCAATAGTCTAAGGAGGAAGACTGTTAAAAAAAAGTCAAATTTATATTCAGGTAATTTTGATTGTTTCTTTGTTTTATATATAACTTTTTAAAATCATAATTCTGCTGACTTGCAGAAAAATTGCAGGCCACAAATCAATACTCAAAAATCTGCTGTATTTCTGTAGTGAACTAGCAGAAATAGAAATGATGGAAAAAATACTACTTACAATCACATCAAAAAGTATAAAATAGGGCCTCCCCGGTTGCGCAGCGGTTGAGCGCTGGGTTGCGAGGCTGCCCGCAGCCTCTGCAGTGCCGGTTCAATCCCCGGCTGCTCCCCGGCCACCGGAGGAGGGTCCCTCATGGCGCGCAGACCTCTCCTGCCGCCCGCTGCTCCCCTCAGCAGTGTACTTCGGTCCTTCTGCCTGCTCTGCTCCCCGCTCTGGCTCTGGTGAATTCTCTCACCCTCCCATGCTTCTGACTGTACCCAATGAATGTATAAACAAACAAACAAACAAATAAAACATGCCTCTATAAAAAAAAAAAAAGTATAAAACACCTAGGAATAAATTTAACTACAGAAGTAATGGACCTTTGTACTGAAAACAATAAGACACTATTGAAAAAAATTGAAAACTCAAAGAAATGGAAAGACATTCCATGCCTACGGATGGAAAGAATCAGTATCATCAAAATGGCCAGCCAACCTAAAACAAACAGATTCAAAGGCATTCTTCACAGAAACACAACAAAAAAAAAATCTTAAAATTTGTATAGAATCACAAAAGACCTCAAATAGTCTGAGGAAAAAAAGAACAAAAATAAAGCTATCATGGTCCCTGCCAGCAAAGCTACATAATCAAAACAGTACAGTACTGGAATAAAAACAGGCACACAGATCAATGGAACTGAGTTGGGAGCCCAGAAATAAAACCACACGTGTATGGGCAACTAATTTATGACAAAAGAGCCATGAGCACACAATGGAGAAAGGAAAAGTCTTCACACTGGACAGCACATGTGAAAGAATGAAACTAAGTCACTATCTTACACTATATATACTAAAATCAACTTAAAATAGATTAAAGATATGAATATAAGACTTGACACCAAGAATAACATAGGTAAAGAGTTTTTTGACATTAATTTTAGTAATGTCTTTGTGGAATCATTTCCAATAGCAAGAGAAACAAAAATAAAAACAAGTGGACTGTATCAGCTAAAAGGGTTCTGCAGAGAAAAGACACCATAATTAAAACAAAAAGGCAGCTTATATATGGGACAAGGTATTTGCGATCTATCTATCAGGTAAGGATTTAATATCTAAAATATATAAACAACTCACACAAGACAACAAAATAAAAGTTAAAAATGGGAAGAGAATCTTCACCTAAGAAGATACATAGCTAGCTAACACAAATGAAAAGATTCTCTACACAGTTATCACTAGGGAAATGCAAATCAAAACCATAATGAGATTTCACCTCACAATGGCTAGAATGTTTACTATCAAAAAATCAAGAATAAGTGCTGCCAAGGAGGTGGAGAAAAAAAGAACCTTTCTCCACTGTTGGTGTCACCAAAATGGAAAAACAGTATAGAGGTTTAGAAGTATAAAAAAAAAGTAAAATGGAATAAACACCCCAAAAGTTGTCATGTTCACGGCTTTATATAAATTAGACAAAAATAAAAATCAAAACATGTGAAAATAAGTTCATGAATGCATTCTTTGTTAATTCCCTACAGTGATAAAATTGCTTACCTCAAAAAAATCAAATATGAGTTCCAGGTTATCTGGCTCCATTGTCTGTATGCTATACTCTGTCCAACGATCAGGCTGTAAGCCATACCCACACTCTGGCTGAGAGTGCCTACATTTGAACTCATTGTCACTTATTAAGGATATCTCCAGGCTATTGGACATTTTGTGAAGAACAGTGGGCGACACCCTATCATCGTCATCTTCCTCCAGACCCTCGAGCGTCAGCTTTACTCTGCAGAAAAGGAAAAGAAAAATGTAATACAAAAAGTGACAGAAAGAAAACGTACACAAATGTTAACTAAATCTTAAATTTAACAGTTTCCTGAATATCTAAATCTTCAAATAAAAAAATAAATATTATGCCAAGTCTGCACGTATTATAGGCTAACAATTAGGTATGTTTTATATAATGCTATTTTTTATCTACAATATTACTACAATGTATTTAAACAAGACAAGTGCTCATTATACCTAAGGTAGTTTTCATGAATTCAGTTTCTTTAAAAAATTAATCTAAAGAGATATTTACTATTACCTCATTTATAACTGGCTATGTCATTTCTTTTGAGAAGTTTCAATGTTTTTAAGTGTGTATATAAAATAAGTACAAAATTGACTTATATTCTGGTATTGTGCATTAAAGACTATTAAGAGATGTAGGCTATAAATAAAAAAAAAATTCCCCTTTCTTCTATTTTACCAAAATAAGTCCAGGTACTTTTTGAAAAGCCCACTATTAAAGAAAAGCATTATTTTAAAATATATGTATTTATATGTATGCATATTTTATGTATATATCCTTTTTAAATGAAAAAGTGAATACGCCAAAAGTCTAAAACTTTTTTTTGGGGGCGGGGGGGGGACTTTTGCTGTTGGCCAGGGAACGAACTGGCGCTGCAGAGGCTGCGGGCAGCGCTCAACGCTGAGCCACCAGGGGAGGCCCAAAAGTCTAAAACTTTTATAAAAGTATCAGAGTGCTAAAAAGAAGGGCTAATTCCCAAAGTCATAAGGTCACAAAGATAAATCTATTTCTAATGAAGAGCAATTATGTGGCATGCCATAAAGTCAGTTTAATTCAAGACTATTTCCTACACCAACTGAAATGTATATAAACAATTTTAATACCATTACAATTGAGAGTAATGTTATTATAAAGACTAACAGTTAAGCTATGAACACTTATCATTATGGATGTAAATGGGATTGATTTATAATACAAGTAAGGGAATTGTATGAGTGGGTCTGGCTTGTTCTCCACATGAATTCCTGCTTCTAACCACTGCTGAGGCTTGTCTTAGAGGCACATAATTCTGAATTCTCCTAGACAGGACATCTACATAGATTACTTGATTAGTGATATTGTTGTGTAGTATCAACAGTAGCACTAATAATCCAAATAAAATTCATCATCTCGTCTTAGAAACCAAACTCCTAGTAAAAGTTCTGGACAAATGATTCTGTGGGTGAGCCTCAAGGAACAAATATTCTCTCCTAGGATATGAAGATAGATTACAAATGGCTAGCAGTAATAGGCAAGCAAGAAATGAAAGAAAACAGTTACTATGTCAACAAAGTGTATCTACAAAAACCTCAAAATTTACATTTAAATTATCTTTAAAATTCTATGAAAGAGTTTATTTATAATAAAGATTTTCTTCAAAGAGCTATATAAATGTTACTGTCTATCATAAAGAGACATTGTTTTCCACTTATTGGTGGAATCTATTAAAAGGGATGCTTGTATACATAATATACATGCATATGTATATATACACACGAAGATGTAATATACACACATATATGTAATTCAATAGGAATTATTTATTTGTATAGCCCAAGTAAGTACAGTATAAAAAAAGATCCAATTTAAGCTTAAGCACACAGTAATATATACAAGCACTCTAAGTGATTTATACACAAACAAGAACTATACAGGACTCACGTATGTATCTGCAAGTCAATCACAACTCCAACCATTAATTATCTACTCATTTCTTCAAGGGAAAAAATCCCTAATAATCCCAACTAACCAGGGCTTTATATTCTATCTTTATTTTCAAGGTCTTATACAAAAAAGACATTTTACAGTTATTAAAAATTTGCTTTTTTGGGGGGGGCCTCCCCTGGTGGCGCAGCGGTTGAGTGCTGGGCTGTGATGCTGCCCGCAGCCTCTGCAGCGCCGCTTTGATCCCCGGCTGCTGGCGAGGGGCCCACATGGTGTGCAGACCTCTTATGTCACACCCACTGCTCTCCTCAGCAGTGTATTTCTCAGTCTGCCTGTTCTGTTCCCCGCTCTGGCTCTGGTGAATCCCCTCACCCTCCTGTGCTTCTGACTGTACCCAGTGCTTATATAAATAAATAAATAAATCTTTGGGGAAAAAAAATTGCTTTTTTAACATGTAGATATATAAATTACTCAATTATGGATATCTAACTGCTCAGAGAATCTTGGGAGGTCAAAGTGATCTTGCAGATTAGCCATGTGGCCCAATTACCCCCGTTTCTCAGAAGCAGAGACCTAGAAAAGGTAATGCACAGAAAGAAGACAGGCCTAAACCTCTTTTATATACTCAGAACAACCAATGCAAAGGACTAGTCAATACTATCTATCCTTCTCCTTAAGCATTTTATGATTGAGGACTATAATATTTAAGCAGTTACTATAAAACAGCTATAGATTTACAAACTGCAAAACCATTATGAATGTTATTGTAAAGGTACTAAGTACTGTATTATTAATTATATCACTTACTAAAAAATGGTCTTTCAACCCAGCCCTGACAATTTTTCAGAAAAGGATGCATAATATATCAAGACTTAGAACTCTCAGTTACAAAATTACAAAAATTCAAAAGATAGGGCTGCCTGGGTCACTAAGAAGCCAGTTCATTCCAAGGTGTGTATGATGACATGGAAGAAAAATAAAGTTTCTTATTCTCTAGCTATTTACACAAAACTTGATATCTACTTCTTAAATTAATATAGATTTAAAAAGAATCTAATCTGGAATTGCTATAATAACTGCTACCTTTCTTTATGAAGTAGTTTTACATTTTCACAACACTGGAAAGTTTAGGACACTGACATATTTTCAACAATCATTTTTCTCTCTGTCATCCTCCCCTAAGCACAAAAACTATTCTACTATATTAATTAAAAAACAAATTATTTACTATTATAGTAACAAATTTTAGAAACTACAAGGAAACATAAACTTGAAAATAATTTATTTATATAAAAGCAAAAATTTCCAGCTTTACTAAGACTAACATAAGAATATGTAACCATTACTCTGAGGTGGGGAAGCAACCCAGTATCACAAGACCCTGATATTATTAGAAAATGTGACATTATTTTATAAATGTGTTATTTTCTCAACTTATACACTTAAAGGCTAAAACCAAATGTATCAAAAATATACATTAGTGAAAATAAATGGCCTAAGTAATAAATACACATGGTCATACCTAAATCTAGATTTTTTTAATTGTTTCTTTGTAATTGAGACAGGAGGTTTTTCAGAATAATGCAAACGTAATCTTATTTCCGTCTGACATGTCAGCCATCCAGAATCCAGAGTCTCAACACCATCTGGCAGAGTAAATATGATCAACAATAATTACTATATATATTTTTGAAACAATCCAATAAGTACAATACACACTGGCAATTCCAATTCACATTTTAATGTACTGAAGTTACATATCAGTGGTATTTCTAAAGTAAGTCTTAAAGTTTTCACTGAAAAACGTTTATATGAAGTAGGGAGAAAAAAGTTAAATGAATATTAATAGTCATATTTCAATAACTCAAGTAAATTAAAATACCCAATTGAATCCATAATTAAAGTAATACAAAACTTTTTCAGAAAGAACACATATTTCAAATTGTCATCTAACCTAGCAGCTGTTCCGTTGAGGATCGTTATTATACTTCCAAAGCGTCAATTGATATACTCAGCCAAAACTAGTTATGCCACTAGTGCTGGGGGCTGAGATACAAGAAGGCAAAAACAAAATTGTGAGTCAAATCTGTATTTTCACATTTATATATTCTACCATTAATAAACTGCATGATTGTGACAACACTGTACTATCACTGTTTAACTTAAACTTACTTACATGCTAACATAGATAATAAAATTTTCATAAATACCAAAGAGCTGTCACCTATTTTGAACCTAAGTTTTTCATCATCTGCACTTTAAAAAAGTCAAGAAACTTCTTAGGTATAACTTTAAAATGCTGTATTACAGCTAAAAATATGAGACAACTACTGCTCTCTAAAACATGTAGCATAAATATAATCTTTGGTATATAAAAGAGGACAAAAGTCTAAAACACTAAACAACTGGAATATTTAAGACTATCTTATGATGTAATATAAATAATCCCAAATAAAATTAAGGAAAAGAAGTTAAATTTCTATCCAAATACCGACAGAGCATGTACATTTCTAAAGTGTGCAGGAATATACGTATGAAGTAAAACCACACCCAAAACATTCAGGCCTTCCTGCACTCAACAGGAAAGCAAACTAGTGATCAGTAATTTATCTCTGGTTAGAGTCAGTGCAAGCACACATTCTGTCCATCCTCCTTACACCTTTTGACCACTACAATGGAGAATCTCAAATAAAAATGCAGTTTAGCATGATAAGCAGGATACATGGCAAATTCTAGTCATTGAAGAAAACTGGAATCCTCAGGATAAAATATTTACTGAAGCAGAAAAGTATAAGAATACATAACGTTTTCAAAATACTCAAAAGTGAAGGATTTCCTACTCTGCTGTAAATCAATTGTTAAAGACTCAATTAGATTAAAACATTCAGTTTTACCTGGATTTTACTGGATATGAATATACAAAACACACAAAATGCATAACTTAGCTTAAAAGTAATTTTTCACAGTAAATGTTTAGAACCATTAATATCACTTTCAAACATAAAAGTTTTTAAGTGATGATATTAGTTAATAGCTAAGCATACTACTTTTCTATGAATTCACATACTTGAAATCACCAAATAAAAAACAAAAAGATAAACTATATAAGCATAAATTATTTAATGGAATGTATTCATTTATGGATATAGTCTTTATTTTCAATATCATGTTCTGTCATACATCCCTGTTTCTAATGAAATACAAAGTAACATTTCAAACGTATCAGTAAATTTTTTCAAAACTCAGTCTCACTTACTGTGGATCCCAAATTGTCCATCGTCAATAATAATTTCACTTTCTAGAATTGAAGGAAAATAGAAAACCTAGTTAAAATTCATGATGTATACAGAATGAGCAACTGAGAAATTAGCCATCTTACGGATTTAAAAAATATACTGAATATAAAATTTAAAAGCAGCCCAAGGTGAATAAGCATATTTATTGTAGCCCTCAATAATGAATTTCCACTTAAGGAATCTATCAGACAGTCATAGTTCTTACATACTTTTAGTGATTACACAAGATTTATAAGGAAGAGAAAGAAAACTCCTCAGAGGTGACTCTAGAGGCACTGGAACAAACTTCTACACCCACCAATACATGAGACTGACAGGTTGCTGGACAGTGTTATCTCTTGGTTGATTTTTTCAAACCAAAGTTCTTGGCACAATTAAAATGCTTATTCTTATGTAGTCCTATTCTGAACATAACTAAAATGTAATTCTCCATGAAGCCCAACTATTTTCTATAGCCAGTTAAGCTTTATAAACAGCATAAACTTACCTGTGTTTCAGAGCTGTGAGGAACTACTAAAAGAAAAATGCTAGCACATTTCCTTCTAACAGAAATTTTAAATAAATGAGAAAAGCTGTAAAGCCCCACTCACTCAGTATAATATAAATTATCTTCCCTACTATTTTCTTTCCCAATTTACTTTAAATATAAGTTTGAAATATTTGTCAAACTAAGTGTGAAAGTTTCAAATAAAGAGTCCCTGGTAGATTCATGTAATTAAGTTTAGAAGTTATCCTTTCCAAAAGCATGAAATTTCTTTTTAAAAAGCCAGAAACAAAACAGCCCCAATTCTCACAATAAAAATATATATTTAGCTGCAAGATGCTTCAAATGCAAATTATTTTTTAAATGCTTAATATCTAATAATTTCCACCCTCAATATGGGACTACTGTAATTCTATACTATCATAAAAATTCAATATACACTATTAAAAATATATTAAAATATACAGAAAGGAAATCCAATAAAGAGGATGGAATCAAATATCTGTCCTTGCTTGATATGTGTCCTCGCTACAAGATTAAGCAGAATCTTTCATTACTTTCTAATCTAAGCTAGTAGTTAGCAAGCCACTTAGTATATTTAAATTCTAATTTTCTCTAGAAACTAAAAAGATACAATTCTTAAAACTCAGTCAATTTATGGATGAATCCAAGTGAGTAATTTAAACTACATAAAGTAAACTTCAAAGTTTAATCGCAATATGGGAAAGAAATTTTTTAAAAATTATATAGAGAGAAATGCCATTTTTTTGGCAGAAGATAACTGAAGACTGTTTTTTAAAAAGCTATCTTGAGTATGAATTTTAACACAGCCAGCATAGTATTTAAGTACATTAGGAGGAAAATATATCTGCTACAACCAAGAAATTTGAATTTGTTCATAAAAGCTCATTTGAGTATTTACTAGTTAAAAAAAGAATAGAAAAACTTATTCCAGTACTCTCAGTATGCAAAAAAAAAAAAAAAAAAGAATCTTGTTTTGGATTCTTTGCTCAAGTGTTCTCTAAGTCTTCTGAGCAAGTAATCAAAGTCATGGATGCTTAGTCAAGAATAACAACATCTTACATAAACTGTTACTACTGCAAATGAAAATAAATGCTCCATAATAAATCAATATAACCCGAGAAAGTTAAATAACTAGGCAAGCATTTCTAATAAAGTTTATAAAGAAAGGCAATTAAGCATTGTTTAGTTTTGAAAGATCCATAAAATACTAAGTGAAATTTGTAGTACTGACAATACATTGACCTTAAATTTTAGAATAAAATTTTACTAGACCCCACTAAGCCATTGTGTAGCATATTAGTAACTTTATGCATATGCCTCAAACAGATGCAGTTAATGCCCATACCTAAAGGGGTTATTGATCGTGGTTGTAGATGAGTCTCCCACTTGTGAACTATGACTTGACATGGACCACCGATAGTCTGCAATTTAAAAGTTAAACGTCTGCAATAATTTCTTATATCTTATTTTCTACCCATGACTCCATAAGATGTTTGTGGTCTAAGTCTTACTCTAAATATGAAACCAAGAGATTAATCTTGTTAATATCGATATTATATGCCAAATATCAGGAATGTACCAGGTCACAAAACATGATGAGTGCTGGAAGAAAATGAGGGTGAGGCAGTGAACAAAGAAAAATGAGATGAACTGGCACACAAAACTGTCTTAAACCCAGTGTTGTAGCTGCCTACAATCCTCAATTTTTTCAAATAAAATTTAACTTTTAACTGACACTAATTCTGCAACATATCAAAATTAGCACCAAATATACTTTCTGTTTGGTGTTACTGGTATTACTGGAAAAATTATCCATCTTAAGCAGTTCTTGAAGTGTTAGTGGAAACCCTAAACTCTATGGTAGTAGGAACAGTAAAATCAATTATCACAATCTACTCAAGGAACTAGAGGGCATGATAAAGTTCTTCATTATATATACTTAAGAGTTAAGAAGATAATAGGAAGAACATCAGATTTCTCATTTCATAGTAATCAGTGTTTCTAAAGGGCACAGAAAACCCTAAAAGAAAGGAGACATATATGGGTAAATCTGAACAAATTTGATAAAAGGGGAACTAACACCCAGTTTATTCTTACAGAGTTTATAAAATCATAGGGTGTGACAATTCCTAATACTGTCTTCTGCTATCAAGTTCTTATTAACAAAATAAAATCTTATATGTTGCTGATAGTATCTACAGCAATTTAAAAACAATAAACTATGAACAAAATCTCTCCATATACATCTAAAGGACTAAAGTATTAAAATGATTTCTAATTTTCCTTCATTTAATAATTGACTAATTGAACTTGCATACCAAAATGAAACCCTCAAATATACATTCTAAAAGCAAAAGTTCAAACTGTAACCTTAGAAGGCATTTTAATTTTTTCTTCTTTAACAGGTTTTCTGAAGAATTTTAGTAAAATATAGAGAAGCAAAAAGAAAAAAACCAAAAATCATTATTATACCCTTAGGAATAACCCCTACCAACATTTTCATATATACCCTTTTCTAGGTATATATTATACTCTTAAAAAGTCAGGAACATACAAACTTATCTTTATACATGGTATACCTTTAAATGGCCTTAAATACTCTTCTATGACATTTAAGAATAAATGCGCCAAATAACAAGTAAGTGTGTAACAAATTAGGCACATTAAACAAATTACACAGATAATTCTGTCACTTAAAATAACCAGAGGTTAAAATCTTCTTGAAAACTAGTAAATTTTAGAAGCTTGAAAACTGAAACAGCATCATTCACTCAAATCATTAATTCTGGGATAATACGGGAAATGCTCATTTTCTCGAATATCTATCTCCTTGTTGTAAGGGTTCACTTATGAATCAAGAGACTGAGTAGACATTTTTTAAAAGGTATATGTGAAACTGCACTTAAAATATGGTGATTTTCACTTCCATTATACTAAGAAAATGAGATACATGTAATCCTAAAATGCTATTTATTTTTTTCTACGACTTTTTCCTGTCACGTTGGCAAATGCATAACTTAAAAATAGGAAGGATGTTTATTTGCAGTAACAAGCAGCCAGAAAGAACTAACCTTTTTCCTTTTTTCACTTCTCTCATGTCCCCACACTCTCCCCCCAAATCCTCTTTGCTACAAAGATGGTAAGGTAGTATGGATCATTAATCTTATAAAAGTTACTATCATAGGTGAGTTGAAAGGGTGCTGGATATATAAAAAGTCAGTGGTGATACAAACTGGATAGAGGAAAGGAGACAGCTTATTTTTGTATTAATTCAGGTGTCAGAGGAACTTTACAAAGTATTGATGGCAGTATCTATATTTATTCATGTAGTAACAGTCCTGTGGATTAAATATCTGATAGGGAACATACTTTAAAAGTAATTTATTTCAATAACTCAACCATCATCTGTTTTAGTAACAAACTCCCTATAATCTCACAGTATAAAACCACCATGGCTGGAACAGAATGGAGTATTTGAGGAGCAGTCAAAGGAGCCAATTCAACAGATAACTTAAAATTGTATCTACTATTTACAATACAAGTCCTTGTTGGTTGGTACATAGAGTCATAATATTAAAAAAATGAACCAAGGTTTAAAATACAATGAATTTCCAAAATTGTTAGGACTACTTTAATAAACCTTAGAAGGTACTCTTAAATTTCTGTTTACTGAAGCTTTTAAAAAAATTTTATAACTGAAGCATTGGGAAATTAAAAACCTCATCAATAATTTCAAAATACACAATTCTTTTACTATGCTAAATGTAATAACTCATGCTTCTAGATTTTAAAAAATAGAACAATTCCATTCCATAAAAGGCTGCCTTTTATGAAACCCTTAAATATATTAAATATAGAATGGAGTATCTGAAGCGCAAAGGAGCCAGTTCAACAGATAACTTAAAATTGTATCTACTACCCATCCCTTTCTTAAGTAGTGATATCACTCAACTACATGAAGCACTAAGAGAAATAAACAGATTATCCAACATGTAGAAAGGGATGGGTTTTTTTTTTTAACAAACCACCAAGCAAAATTACAAACTAATCATGTAATACCACTGCTACCAAACATGAAAACTAAAAATGTGAACTTTTAAAAAAATTGTTTTCTTTTACAATTTTGAAAAAAATGCACATGTAAAGGAGCACTGAAGAAATTTTACCTATAATGTCAGAGGCCAGACCTATGTTATTTAAAAATTACTATTTTTAATAAGACCAATAAAATTAGCTACCTAGGAATGAATAAAGCAAAGAAAGTTAGGCTGATAGACATCTCTGATATAGTATTTAGCATCCAGAGAATTGTATTATTAAGATGACTGTACAAAATGATAACCTGGGCTATTCTAAAAGCAAACAATGATGTGCCTACCACACATGACCGATGTTTTTGTTAAAGGATTTAAATGAAAATCAAGGGAGATTAAGAACAAAATAAAAGAACATGTTTGTAACGAATCTATGAGTATTAACACCTATAAAAATTAGGGAGATATGTTACTGAAAAATAAAGAGCTATTTCCACTGAAATGAAGGAAAAACTTTAAAAACAATAAAATGAGAAACGGGCTAACATCACAGAATTAAGTATATCCCTAATTCAGTTGCAAGAGGGGTGAACATAGATTTTTAAAAAATGTTTAAGTAACATGTTAATTCAAAAATTACCTTTGGGGAAGATGTGAAATTAATGGGCTATCTACAAAATCATGCCAATGTTTTCTTTTTTTTTTTTTCATGCCAATGTTTTCATTCCAGGAATACCTACTATACCACCTCCTTCTGCTATGTTTAAATAAGATAATTTTTCAATTTATTATACATAGTTATTTTAAAATTGAACATATTCATACTTCATTCTAATTCTACAAAGTATAAGGAAAATGTAGCTGTGAAAAATTAAGAGAAGGACTTGAAGACTCAACTTCTAAACTGAAAAAAATATGCAAAATATGGAAGAGAAAATATGAATGGCAAAATTTTATTTACAATAAAATTTTAACAATGAAGAAACCTAAGAAATTCACAATTCAAATCCCTCACTTGAGAGATGAGGAAGCTGAAATCCAACGATGAAGTGACTTGTTCAAGATTACAAGATTTTTTAGGTTAGGCTCTACAACTGCTTGGGGTGGACTACCTCCTTAAACTTTTGATCCAGTAAAATTAATCTTATTATCCATTTCAGCTTTTCAATGCTTTATAATTACTTTGCTTTCCTATCATTCTTTATAATCATAATATATTCCAATAATTTACATATTTCATGATTTAAAATTCCTTGCACATTTGTTCTATCTTTCACAATGAACAACTGAAACAAAGTTTCATAATTATTTCTATTAAAAATGTTTCACTTAAAAAAAGCCACCATATTTTAAGAGAATAGAAGTGTCACTTTAAGCTGGCAGGTGTGAAAAAAAAATTCTAGCTATATGCATGGGATTTTATGTAGCTATTTACTCTAGTCCATGAAAAACATACTTACCATGGCAGCCCCTGCATCACACGGTACATGTGTACACGATACAGAGCACCTACTTAAAGAAACACACTCACCAACACATACTGTAAACTTTTGCAAGTATTACAAGGGGAAAAACTTGTTTTTTACTGTAAGCAGACTTGCCAATTTTTTCAAAATGGCATTTTGGCTGATTTTCTGCTTTTGGTTACATTTTTAATGAAAAGGAAAAATACTCCAGGTTGGCTTAATTTGACCTGTATTGACAATAGTCTTACTTTAGCAAACTATGCCCAAAGGAATCATGATTTTTCTTTTCCAAACAGACCTTTGAGTAAAATTTGGTTGATTTCTTGTTACAAAGCTAAATTCCACATGTCAGGATCCTCAAATAAACTTTCAGTATTATGAGTGCTATGACCTATGTGTCTATAAACAATTGCTTAATTTATATTGAAAAATTTTACAGAAGGGATAGCCCCTCTGCCAAATAGATGATCTTTCCATAAGCCATTAAAGTGACACTATTGTCAAGATAAGCCAACATAATGATCAACCATATTGTAGCTTAAGTTTAATTACTGAGTATTTACAACATATTCTTGGAATAAGAAACGTAATAGGTGCAAAAGACAGCTGAAGTGGGTTTGTCAGTTTTTTCTTTTTTTAAAATGGTGGCTAAGAGAATGAGATAATAGTGGCTGCTTGCAATTTTTACATGTAACAGTGCTCAACGACCTCCCAATGGGAATTAATTTTTTTTTAAAGATCTAATTCATGTTTGCTTCCTAAACTCCTACCTAAACCTTCATTCACATGCAGCACATTGTGCTCAAAGGTAAACAATTTGAAGGAAAACAATCCTTTCAGCTAGTAAGCATTGAAAACCAACTTTTTTCTTTTCTAAATATGAAAATGATCCCAAAATAAGAAAAATCATTGTGAGCAAGCAGATTCAGAATTAAAATACACTCTAAAAGGATTTTAGAAAATATCCTGCTCTAACAATGTCATCGATGAAAAAAATCTAAGAGGAACAACTTCAGTTTTGACAGGAATTAAGCAGCCACGAAGTGATGGCTGCTGTGAAATAATTTTTAAAAACAATTATTCCCTTAAAGCTGGCTATATATGCTTCTAAATATATGTATACCACTTAGGAATTTTTAAAAAGAAACAAAAAGAAAAATCCTTGCAACTGCTTATTAATTCACCAAAGTTACAGATAATGCACAACTCTCAAGAACATTTATTTATCATTAAAACTTAATTTCATGATAAGAACATTGCAGAACATACTTACTATTAGTCTTTAACAATTCCACTGCAGACACTGTCTGCCTCTGAAGTGCTTTTTGCTTTTTGTTTTGGAAGTGTTACTCTGCTTTTTGGTACTAAAATGTTTTTAATCTAGAGTTCTATTTTCCTTATTTGATCAAAACAAACACATATTACTTTTAATGTTTCAAACAAATTAGTTATTTTTCAAAGAAGTAAGTTTGCTTATAAAACTGCAAACTAGATAAAAAACAAACATACATACCTTTGGTTCTAAGAAGCACCCTTTGAAGTAGCGATACTCAACTGATACTCCTCTATTGAGTGTTATGGTGGCTTTCCATAACATGCTGTAAGGGGCAAAAATTTAAAGGGCATCATCAATATCAAAGCAAAATGCACAGACTTCATAATTCCTAAAACCCCTCAAGTTAAGGTCTGTGATCAATATTTATTCCTAGACAAAATTTTACTTCAGGCTTAATCTCTACGAAGCTCTAGAAATATGGATAAGGCAGAAAAAAGAGCCCATCTTGCATTCTTGTGTGAGTAGACAATCACTAAAACAACATACACAGTAAAAGCTATTTGACCTTTCAGGCATGGCAGGACATTTTGGAGGAGGCTCTTGGAGGGGGGATCTCAGTGGGAAAGAGCTGTCAGACCCAAATGGTGAGAAGGAACCAGTTACCCAGAGTCAGAAGTACTCTAAATGGAAAAAGTACATGTAGGCTGAGTCAGAACCCTCTTTCACTTGCCACTTAGCTAGAGATGTTACATGGCTGCCACGATGCTTTTAGGTTAAGGTGGACAATTTACATTCATGTTCCAAACTGTTTCTATTTCTAAGTATCTTGCCTAGCCTCTGGCTATCCCCTTGCCAAAGCAATCAGTTTCTATGTTTCTATGTCTTACTTGTTTCAACTCAATGCCTTCCTCTGAACTCTGCAATCCTAACATGTTATAATGCTAATTCTAAAACTCTGACTCAATGGTGAAAAAAATTCACTACAATTCATGATTAGAACTGATTTGGAGCCTCAAAGCATAAACCATTAGTAGCCACAGCATGGCCCCAGGACCATCAGTATCACCTGAGAGCTTGTCAGGAATGTAAATTCTCAGGTGACACCCAGACCTACTGAATTAGAAACTCTTGGTATGGTGGGGCCCAGTAAGTGTAATTTAATAAGTCTCCAGGTGTCTCTGATGATGAACACTTAAGTTTGAGAGCCATTGTCATAGACCATTACTCCCAACATTAATTCAGCATGAATAGTTCAGTGAATAAACAGCAGCTCCAAATGTTCTTTCATAATACCAGATGGTTAGCACGGCTCTCCACTTGGCTCCACCAAGAAAGGGCATTAACGTCACTCTGACTCAATCCTGGCACCTTACAAAATATCCACAACCAGCTCTCGCCCATAGTCTAGCTTCAACAATTGGATTAATCTGGTAGTAACAAAATACCTATGCCCTGGCTCCACCATGGGAGATTGATTTCACAAGGCTGGGGGGGGGGGGCATTCTGGTCACATGGGATTTGATAAAACTTCACAGGGCATCTGGATGTATACAGCTGGTTAAAAACTGCTGCTTCAGCACAAGGACAGTAAATACTTGGCAACTACAAAGCCTACTATTTTCCCCTGATCAACCTCAGAATCCTTTTCAACACAGGATTTTAGGCTGACTCCACGAGATCTAGTTCCCACCTTTGCTACAAAAAAGGCGCAAAAAACCCAGCAAGCCAGAGTATCTGAAAGTAGTCCCAGATGAGCAGAGCAGAATCAGGAGGAAGCCTTGAAAAATGTGCTTAGGCCTCTCTCTCATGCACTATTTCTCAATTTCCAGAAATAGAATCTTGGCATGTGTATTTTTTAAAGCCCTCACAAGTGATTCTAATACATACCTGTTGCTAAGAGCCACTAAATGAAAAGTTGGAGAAAGCAAAGCAATGAGTCTTTTTACTTCTCTAAGTAAATGTAGCCAAATTTAAAATGAAACAGAACTGATTTCAAGAATGAACTTCACCTCTTGAAATTTAAGAAAAACCAGGAAAGGGCCTCCCTGGTGGTGCAAGGGTTAAGTCTCAGTGCTATCAAACTAGCTATCAAGCTATGGGACAGCCACTGCAGCATGAGTTCAATCCTTGGCCAGGGAGCTTAGCCAACTTGGCACAGCAGACCTCTCCTGTCTCACCCACTACTCCCCTCAGCAGTGTATTTCAGTACATCTGCCTGTTCTGTTCCCCACCCTGCTCTGGTGAATCTTCTCATCCCTGCACCTCTGCCTACACCCCAGTTCTTGCATGCATAAATAAATCTTAAAAAAAAAAAAAAGAAAGAAAGAAAAACCAGGAAAGAGGGGCAGTGGGAAAAAAAAGGGGGCGGAGAAAGTGCATCTTCTTGCTTTGTACTCATATCGTCCTCCCAAATACCACTAAATATACAAGAGCAAATAAAACAAGTGACCCATATTTTCTGCATTATTAGAAGACAATACCACAATCTTCAAATTATTTTTAAGTAGAAAAAATCTTCCAACAGAACTCTCACGGCCACAAGTCTGTAGGTTTGGGAGATGCCTGTGACTTCATAAAAAGACGCAGAGCACTCAGCTGCAGAGCACACTGGAAACCCAAAGAAATACAATTCTAATACCCAAGAATATCGCTCAAACAGATTTGTTTGCTATTTGTATCATTTACATGAATAATCTACTTCCTTTCTCTCTGTGAAACACTGTTTACCTGACATTCACTGATTCTATCCTAAACCCTTCACCAGGAGATAATTTAACTGAAGCCTAGAGATATCAGATTTGCCCAAGACCAGGTAAGCAGAACTGAAACTGGCACCCAGATCCTCTTTTCCCAATGCAGTGCACCAAAACATTCATGCTAAGTTTAATGTTGTATACATTTCATTATATAGCTAAGAAATCAACTATGTGTTCTACTATTGGCTATTTTTGATAGTTACATATGCCTGAAGAAAACGATTTTATAGCTAAGGCAAAATTTGGATCAGTTATCAAAAATATGTGCTAAAATGCAAGAGAATGCCTAAAAAAGGTTTTTATATAAGAAATAACAACATAATCTTGTTATTTAGATATATGGTGGTAAGTATCAAAGAACCAGTGGAAAGCTGAAAATCGATAGTGTAGGGTAAGGAAAAATGTCAGGCTTTTCTGCCCTCCCGCCATCAGGAGAGATGATGGATCCTTGCAGTCCTGAATGCATAGCTGATGGCGGGCACCTGGAGTAGGGTATGGGCATAGGTAGATGAGATGCACCTGGGCTAAGACTGGGCTTTTAAGGGTGGCGTCATGGGGACGCCAGCAGAAGCCAAAAGAGACCCGAGACAGAAGCAGCAGAAGCTGAGAGAAGGCCAGAGAGCCCAGAGTGAAGACCTGCTGGGGGCTGGGAGGCCTGTCATCCTGCCAGCCCCCCGGCCCCCCAGTACCCCTGCCTGCCATGTACTTGGTAAACCCCAATAAAAGCCTGCAAAAAGCCACTGAGGACTCCAATTTCTCCTTTACCCAGTCTGCTGGATCATAGAAAACCTGCACCGTGTCCAGTCCTGACCCTACAATTGGCGTAGTCGGCAGGATGATCCATGCAGATGGGTATTTGAGGCCTCCAAAGACCTGGAGGGACTAAGGAGTAACAGACTGTTTGCCTGTGACGACGCTGGAGGTGTCATGGTAGCACAGGAGAGGGACAAGGTCCGGGAGCTGCGGGACGAGACCTCACATGGAAGAGACACCCGAGAGGACCAGCCAACGACTCCTGGGGCAGCAGAATCATCGGCAAAGGGAGGATCACGATTTGGAGCTCACCAGTGCTGATGCAAGGAGAGGCCCACAGACTTTGACTGATGGACTTGGACTGACAATACTGCCAGAAGGCGGAGGACCTTGGCAGGTTATGTTTTTTTGAGAATCTGGGGGTGGCCAGTGGGCCTTGATGGCCAAAAGCAGCCAGTGTATGTCCAGCAGACAGGCAGAGGAGAAAAGCCAACTGAGAAGGCAAAAGGTGCTGATGCTAAGTTTGGGAAGCCCTGAGTGGCTGCTAAGCACTAAGTAAGCTGAGGAAGGCCAGTGAGTCTCGTAAAATCACCTATGGGTGCTGCCCTGCTCGTTGTCGAGTGAGGGTGAGGAGCTGAGGAACCCATCCTTGGGGGACGGGTGGGGAACGTGGCTTGGGGTGGAGCCCAAGCCGAATGTAGAGTTTGGATCCCCGACCCATGTGCTTGTGCAGTGGGTTGGCCTGAGTGCAGGGGTCTGCGAGTTGCATGGGTGGCTATGAAAGCCGAGTGTTGGAGCGACTGCAGACAGAAACCCTGAGGGTTGGCGATTACCCCCAACAGTATAGAATCGCCAATCCCAGAGTGAGTGCATCCTGGGGGTGGATGTTGTGTGTGGCTTATAGCTGAAACTACAGTCAGAGAAGGCCAGGAAGCCTAAAAGCTCCCGGTGTGTTACAGTAGATGCCGTGAGTGATTCCCCTTCCTCATATGAGCAGTGCCTTTGGCAGCAGATTTGGTGGCTCATCTGCTGGTACCAATAATTGCCTTTTGCTACTAGGTTGGACTTATTTATATTCTGTTGTATTTTGTTATATTGTGATGTATTTGCTTTTGTGGGCCATGGCTGCATTGTTTATGTTTGCTAAGAAAATTGTATATATGTAGATCGTATGGCAGAAAACCCTGAGGGGGTGGACTGTAGGGTAAGGAAAAATGTCAGGCTTTTCTGCTCTCCCGCCATCAGGATAGATGATGGATCCTTGCGGTCCTGAATGCATGGCTGATGGTGGACACCTGAAGTAGGGTATGGGCATAGGTAGATGAGATGCACCTGGGCTAAGATTGGGCTTTTAAGGGTGGCGTCACGGGGATGCAAGCAGAAGCCGAAAGAGAAGCCAAGAAGGAAGCAGCAGAAGCCAAGAGAGAAGCTGAGAGATGGCCGGAGAGCCCAGAGTGAAGACCTGCTAGGGGCTGGGAGGCCTGCCAAGCCTGCCAGCCCCCCGGCCCCCCAGTACCCCTGCCTGCCTTGTACCTGGTAAACCCCAATAAAAGCCTGCAAAAAGCCACTGAGGACTCCAATTCATCCTTTACCCAGTCTGGTGGATCATAGAAAACCTGCACCGTGTCCAGTCCTGACCCTACAGATAGATTGACAGAAACTGAAGAACAAAGAAATTCGTTTTTTTCCCACAACACACATTGTGAAACTATTTTAACTTTTTAAAACTATGTATATGTGAAATTTTGATAAAAATTAAAACTAAAAGAAGAAAATACCAATGTCTTTTAGCATTTCCAAGTTTATAATCTGAATGTCATAATTCTTCTGTTCTTGTGTCAACTGACATTCCATGCTCACCTTTCACCAGTCTCATTTTCTGGACAAAGAGCCACAGCATTTTGAGGATTCCAGTTTCCCAAAACATCACAGCTTCCACAGATTGCAAAAACTTCTCCTTAAAACAACAAACAAACAAACAAAAAAATTAATTATAACAGGGTAAGTTGGAAAGCTTCAATCTGTTTTAGGAAAGAGAGCAGTCAGCTGTTTTTTTTTTAATATTTTTTTTAAAAAGATGTATTTATTTATACAAGAACCAGGGTACAGGCCAGAGGCACGGGAGGGTGAGAGGATTCACCAGAGACAGAGCGGGGAACAGACAGGCAGAAGGACTGAAATACGCTGCTGAGGGGAGCAGTGGGGGAGACAGGAGAGGTCTGCTTTGCCATGTGGGATTCTCACCGGCCGGCCGGAATGGAACCCGTGCTGCAGAGGCTGCGGACAGCTTCACAGCGCGATGCTCAACTGCCTGCACCACCAGGGAGGCCCTGTGCTAGTTTTAAACAGATACAGAGTTCTTATAAAGCAGAGAAGTCTTTCTGGAGACATGGTTTTAGAGCCAGGTACCACATCACCAGCTGCATTTATAACTAGAACTACCTCAACAAAGCCAAAGTCAGAGAAGGGTGGGCAAAGGAAAGTATGAAGATAAACTTTTCTCATTTGTTCAACTATCTATTGAGTTAGTAACAAGCACCGAAATGACAAAGTGATCAAACTGCAGCACCTGACCTCATGGCGGTTCCCAAGTTAAAGGGCAAACACTAAATGCATATAAATGTCCTGTAGAAATAGTAGTCAATATTTCCCAAGAACTCAAGAGTAGCTAATAACAAGTTAAAGATGAAGAAAATTATCAATGGAACAGGAGTAATGTAGCCAAAAATATTCCTCAAAACAAAGACTTCAGTGGTAGAAAATCTGTACTCTTTACTAAAATAGTAATTATCATTTCATTTGAATACATCTCATCAATAAACAAACCAACATATAGTTATTACCTATTTTTGCTAGATCTTAGATAATTAACAAGCTACACCTTCTTGGATACAAGTATGCAGAAGTCTTTGACATATATCAATACATTCTGAATTAATTTAAAATTCATAAAGAAAAAGATAATGAACTGAATTTACATGACAAAGTTCAAGCCAAACTCCTCCACATTCTGAGAGTAGCTTGGCTTCTGAGTTTTTAGGCACTATTCTAGAAAGTAGTCAGCTTTAGCCGTCTGCAAGAGAATTCTGTACTCTTCAATGGTTTAAAACAACTAAAATCCTAAGTGTGACAGTCATTTGGGAAATTCCAGGGTTCTAAAATATAGGATGGTTACATATAAAGATTTCATGTCAAAATATTTACCAATCCTTTAACTAGATTTTTTTTTTTTTTTTACAATTAACTTAGGTATCACTACCTAAGGACAAACAATGCTGTTAAATACAAAGCACAAATATTTATTGCCAAGACTGTATTTGCTGCCATGCACATGTATAGCATACACTATGGCTCCTAGTATAGATTATCAGAAAGTTACTGATTTGGACCCATTATGCTTCCTTCATAAAGGAGAATCTCATAATTTGTTTTTCATTTAATCTGTTATTTCTTATATTCACACAAACAGCAGCTACGTTTTTCTCCAGAGAGAACATGGATCCCAAATGGAAAAAGTGCAACTTGGGACAATTGGTGGTTTACTTTTCTGCTGTTTAAGTGCTCCTACATTTTACCAAGCCCCTACTGCAGTATTACTTGTGTCTTTCTGAGTTTCTTAGAATATGACTTCTAATAGGGGGAAATGCCAGAACAAACAGCCCACTTTCTTTAATTGGCTCCCATTTATAAATGATAATAAAGACTTGATGCTAACTAAATGAATGTGCAAATATCACCACCCCCCCATTCTTTCCACTTGTTCCCTCTAACTTCCCTCTGTGCATTCCCTAACTATAGATTCAGCTACACTCACATCCACCATTATCTTCCGTTTAGTCTTAAGAATATTAATTCCTCCCGTCAAGCTGACTTTTCCATGGCAAATTCTGAGTCCATTTGCCAGATATGGCCAGCAACTTCTGGCTTAAACTGTTTACAAGTCCCTAAAGGAATACACTATAATTCTACAGTCTTCTCTCCACAGAGGCGACTACACACTGGGCTGGAGGTGAGTGCTTGACTTAAGGAAGCCAATCCATCAAGCTGACCATCAATCTTCAATACGCAGACTCTTGCCCAGAGGTAGGGCTATATCCGATCATGTTGGCTAAGAATATCAACTTGGACAAACACACTGTTAACAGCTATAATGGCTGCTAAAACAAAGATGCCGGAGACAGTAAAACATCCACTCATTCTTTGAACACCAATTCACCCCTGCTCTGAACCAGGCACGGTGCCAAGTGTAGGAATGTAGAGTAAATAAGATAAAAACATGTTTTCATAGAGCTTACAAGCTATTTCAAACAAAATTATTCAAATAATTCCATAAAATCTTTTAAGAGGCACTATAAACTAGTCTCAGGACCCTGAATTTCGTCGGGACCCTGAACTACTGGGATGTGGAAGATTGTGGTAAGGAGTGCACAGATCTATGCAAAAGAAACAATCTGAAAAAGTTCCAAAGGACAGAGAAAGTTGGGAAGAAATACAAACAATATAGCCAGAGTATAAATAGGAAGGTATATAACCCAGGTGTGGTGCTGTTTTAACGTGTATTTTCTATTAAACCTAGTTCATGTTGCTTTAAGTAGCAAAAGAAAAAAAAAATACAAAGAAGCTAAGAAAATATTTACAAGTAGGGAGCAAAGTTACCTTAATTAACTATTTCATCAAATTCTTGCACTAGCAAAATCTTGTTTCCATGCTACCTAAAAATCATGGTCAACTACCTTCGTCCTGTGCAAAATTATGTAAGTTCATAGCTATTTTTAAAAAATATGAGAATAAAACACTTACTACTTGGGGAGGTTTATTTTTTAATTCCTTGAGCTTACTATGCTTTGAGCACATTTCTGGTAGGAGGCAAGGCCTAAAGATATTTTCATTTAAAAATCAGGCTGAGTGGTTAACTCCATATTTAAGATAAGAAATAAGAAAACGCTCACTTAATTAAAAGATTGCTTTAAAGTAAAAGTTTACAATACCTGGTAAAAGAGATCCTTTGATTTCAAAGGTAACCTGAGAAGGAGTCATTCTGATGGATTTATTATAGGATGTCGTGCTAGGAAGAAAAAGAGAAGTTGTCATTTATAGTATTAAAGTATTAGCTTTAGATAGCTGCCATCAAGACACAAGTTAAAAAGCAAAAAATATATAAATAAACCTCAATTGTAAGCAAAAGATTTCAGAATCACTATATTTAAAGAAACTGAATTATTTAGGAAATTTCAGGCTTTTATGTTACAATCTATTCCGTAAGAAAGCATGGACCAGAAATACTTCAAACAAGAAGTGTCCTTACTTTTAAAGATTCAAGATTTTCCTGCCTAGCACTTTCTCTTCTGATAAGCAGCTGTTCAGCACTTGACCTATCTTTCCTGGCCAGACTCCTGTTATGGTGGAGAATAAAACAAACAAATAACTATGGATAGAAGAAAGCTTGGCTCAAGAGAGATTTCTACTTTAACAAGGTTTCAACTTTAATAACAAGGGAAACACCAAGGATCTTAAGTATCACGCACTGAAACAAAGTAGTCATATTCTGCAACCAGTTTGAAACTTCTATGCTTCTAAGTAACACAACTCATGACTGAAAACAAACCAACCCTTCTTCCACAAAACACTTTCCAGATTTTTCTCTATATTAACCATAAGATCTTTACTAGAGTTCTGTAGGCTAAATTGAGAATCTGGACTCTGTAATATACCAAGGTCTGTCAATCTTAATTGAATTTACATTTTGAACTTTCTAAAGTTGAACTTTATTCAAAACTCTTAAGTCTTCTACTTATACATTGGCTTTTATATATCTTCCCAGTAACATATTTTACGTAAATATTCTTCCTCACGTTCCTGGCTCGGGATAATTTCAATTACTTACAGAAATCTAAACCACTAGGTCTTTGAGATCCTTCTCTGCTTGCCCACATTTTATTTTTAGTTGATTTTTCATTTCTATGCTGCTTTTCCCAGCCAAACCAATCTGCTTATCATTCCCTCATTACGTATCTGAAGGGAGATAAATAGGTTTTTTTAAATAAATAATGTGGGGCCTCCCTGGTGGCGCAAGGGGTTAAGCACTGCACTTATGAAACAAAATACAGCCTCTGCAGCACGAGTTCAATCCCCAACCAACCGGCCAGAAACCACATGGCGCAGCAGACCTCTCCTGTCTCACCCAATGCTCCCCCTCAGCAGTGTGTTTCAATCAGTCTGCCTGTTCTGTTCCCCACTCTGTTTCTTTCTGGGGAATCTTCTTACTCCCGCATCTCTGGCCTATACCCCAGCTCTTGTATGCATAAATAAATAAATCTTTAAAAAAATAAAATAAAATGTTAATTCTCAAGAAGGTTGAAATATGTAAATATAGAAAGAACACATACTCCACACAAGGGAAGATCATCTATGTAACTTATTCAATACCCAATCTACCAATGTTTCTAAAATAATTCTAAAATAATTCTAATCACGTCTTTATTCTGTATCATTTCCATTAGTTTGCCAGTTTAAATTTTGTTTACTTGCATTTACATATTGCATCATTAAAAACAAATCCTAGGGCCTCCCTGGTGGCGCAAGGGGTTAAGACGCAACCTATGAAGCTATCTGCAACCACTGCAGCACAAATTCAGTCCCCAGCCAGGGAGCAACCCACATGGCACAGCAGACCTCTCCTGACTCTCCGGCTGCAGTATATTTCACTCAGTCTGCCTCTTCTGTTCCCCACTCTGTCTTTGATGAATCCTCTCGCCCCCCACACTTCTGGCCTGTACTCCAGCTCTTGTATGCATGAATAAATAAATCTTTAAAATTTTTTTTTAAATCCTAAAATACCTTTCATATGTATTCATTTTTCTATTTTCTCTTTTATCCTGTTCCTTTCCATGAAAACACATGCAACTGCAATGGTCAGTTAATGAGCACAGCTACCCCAGTTTACCACACTCCCAAGTCAGGGTAGACAGATAGCTCTTAGAAGCAGCTCTCATTGGAGGCAATTTTGCCCTCTATGGGATATTTGGTAATCTCAGGAGGTATTATTGGTTGTCACAATTGGGGGCATCTAGTGGCAAGGAATATTGCTAAATACCATTATATGCAGCGAACAATTGTCTACAAATAACTGTCCAGCTCCAAATATCAATAGGGCTTGAGGTTGAAAAACCTAATCTCTATCTATCCACAGAGAGCTGCTATAAGGAAAAATTCCAGGCTCACTCTGAACTATAAGCTCAGTGTATCATCCCATTCACATCAATTATAAAAAGTAACTTTTGTAAGACCACCAGTCAATGTGGTTTCATGTCACCTGGATAAAGAATTCCCTATTTGGGAGCACTTACCATTTCAGTTAGAAAACCCAAAAGCCCACATTAGAGAAAAACTTGTCCTTGATCAAAGTAATTTCTAAGCTACCTTAATCTATTTTCTGTCTCTAAGAGTAAACATGATCTATTTAAAGCACATACATCCAGTTCTAGCACTGACAAAGAATGTTCTAAATCTAAAATTAGCTCTAGATTGTCACTCCTTATTAACCTATCATTAACCAAATATCTTCTTATTCTCTTCCAACATGACATTTTATATGAACCTGAATATTTCATTTTTTGATATGTAAAATGAATAATTGAAGTACTGCAATCTTACATTTATCTGAAATTATATCAAAAAGAAACTTTAAGGCTAGCAAAAAAATTAGTTATTAAATTAATTTTGAGACACAACGAAAAAGCCACATTAAGCAAAACTGCTGAACAACCAACATCAATCTCAACCTGCAACTTTTACTTTTACCAGTGTTTACAGTCACAGTTGTCAACTAAAGACAATCTCACCGACCTAATTACATAGCTGGTACGCAACTGTTCATCAATTTAAAAAAAATTTTAAACAATTTTAGGGAAATGAAGTGTAATTATTCCTGGGTATTAAAACCAACAGCAGGTACAAAATTACCTCTAAATTTTTAGTGCGTTAAATAAGAAAAACTACATAAGTTTATTATGCCTTTTACTCTTAGTTGCTTGTAGAGTGGTTATCATAACTTGGCTGTAAATAGTTGCAGTAAATATATTATACAAAGCTATATAAACAAACACAGCCCTCCCCCCACCTCACCAGATGGCAACAAAGCATCATCTTCCAATTGGATTGCCAAAAGTCATATAAGATGGTCTAACTTCCACTCCCACCTCCTAAATTTAATACCATCCCATACCAAATTTTAAAAGCCTGGAAACCGCTCCTATAGCAGTTTACTTGATCATGGACAAATGCCAATATTCTGGTGCAGGAGTGAAGCATATGATTTTGGCATCCAGTTACCACCAAACCAGTAGTGATAAAGTAAAATGCTGCTGTGTTATGGAAAAAAATTGTAAACAGCTACCAACACTTCCTTGTCTTCTAAACAAGAAAAAAAAAAAACCCAACTTGGAAGGGAAAGCTCTTCCAGATACACATGAAACAATCAAATGGAAAATGCTAGTCATTTTACATACAGGAGTTGACAACCTTATGTACACACACTTCCTGAGACAGGTTTTTGTTTTTAAATATAACTTCCATTTTATGCTTCTGGGAGATAAACATTAAAAACCATTCTCACCTGAGATTTTGAGTAGCACTGAAAGCTATTCTAACATTTTAAAAGCAACTAACAAAGCAACCAACAAAATGAGTGTAATTTACATTTTTTAAATATTTCAGCATTTACACTACTTGGAAAAATTCATTTTACTCTAGTTTTGTCAAAAAAGCCCTAATTCGTTTGCAGCTTGGGTAACAAAAGGGAGGTTTAAGCAAACCAAAGGAACATTTAGTTTAGAGCTAAATTGAAGTCACTTTTTTTTTTTTTAGCAAAAATGTGTTTTTCTGGCCAAAAAGAACATCTCTCACTATTTTCCCTCAACTTTTTAGAAAGAAAAAAGCTGTTCCCAATTCTCCTCAAATTAGCTGTAAGGAAGGAAAATAAGAAAAGTCTACATTTTCCTGGGTTAATTTCTGTTCATCCTGGTAGAGGAACCCAGTATACTTTGGGCCAATATTTTCATCAGATGTATGCAAACATGCAAGAATTTTTAATAAGGAATTTCTAGAGATTTCATTAAGTTTATTGAGCAACTTTCTAAATAAGAAGTAAATTTTTCTCAAATGTCTGTTTTCTATGTCATATCCATAATCACATATATATATATATATTTCTTACAATTTCCCTGGTTGTTATACACAAAGATTTGGTTTACCAACCTACTTTTTGTATATCAAATTTAACTCATTCTGCCACTGCTAAATTTCCTTCGCCGTCATTATTTCTCTAATGCAACTCTCCTAAGTCTTACTTTGCTGCTTTAAATTTTGTCTAGCATATTGGGTCTCCCTAGTTCTTAGATTAAGAGGAACGGACCATAAGCACTTTTACCTGTATTCTTTGCATCCAGAACACTGAGTCAGAAAAAGAACTGCTAGCTTGTATTCGCTTCTTAAACTAAGCCACAACTGTCACAAAGGTAGCAGCGCGGAGAAAAGGGAAAGGGTAAAGTAGCGGGCAGAAATCCGCAAGAGGACGAAGAAAAACATCACCAGGTCCAAACATCCTGCCTGCTTGGTTCGATCGGTTCCTCGGCGACGGGGCTACTGCATCAGGCTCCAGAAACTGCCTCAAGGTTAAAGAATTCTCTACAATTCAGGACTAAATTCATGCCTGATCTCCTTTACAACCGGGCAGAGGAGTAAGAGGGGCTGATGAAGCAAAGGGATTGAGGCTTTTCCCCCCAAAGCCATCAAGGCAATCTCGGGGTGTGGGGGGGGAGGGTGGTTAAAAAAGTAGCGCTTTGGAGAAAAAGGGCTGATGTTTTAAAATCGTCATCGAGGGCATCGATGTCTATTCCAGGGAGGTTTTTCTAGGGTAGTAAAACACCTCGGATTCTTGGGATAAATGAATTATACAAGCATGTCCTAGACTACGGGGTTAGGCAATTTCAGGGGGGAAAAGAAAAAAAAAAAAAAAGCAGTTGTCAAAACACTGAACTACTTCTGGGCAGACCAAGAGCGGCGGGCGAGGGGAAGGGGCACACTGAGGACTTGGGCTGCATTTCTGCCTCTTCGCCCCTTCACTGGGCACCTCACCCCCTCGGGGTGGTCCTAAGCTCCCGCGGTCCAGTACCTCGAAAACACTTGCCAAGATCTTCGCAGAGAAACTAAGCCCCAGGCAGCCCAGCAGAACCTGACAGGAAACAACAGAAGTCCCAGAAATACGCGCGACCCCCCACCCACCCACCCGGCGAGCGAACGTCCAGGCCGCTGCTTTCCCGGAGGGCAGCGCCCGGCCCGGCTCGGGGGACCCCGCCCAGCCCTGCGCCCGGACCCCGCGCCCCCAGCCCCGCCGCATCCCCGCCGGGCTGTTCTGACAGCTCAGCCGCCACGTGAGCGGCCGCCTCGGCCCCCGCACAGCGCGCCGGGCCCGCCGGGTCCGTCCGCCTCACCTGCCGCGTCCGCAGGTCCGCGCCGCCGCCGGTGCGCCCGAGAGCGAGGGCCGCGGGCCGAGATGCCGGGCGCCCGTCGTCCGCGCCTCGCCAGCGCTCCCCGAGGCGGCCCGCAGCGGAGCCGAGAGGCAGGAAGCCGCACCGCTCAAACCGGTTTCAGCTGCTCCAGACCAAACCGCCAGGCCACCCCGCGGGGCGGGGACCGAGAGGCGGCGGGGCGGGGTCTGACGTCACGCCCGGCGCCCTTCCGGCCAATCGGCGGCCGCGCGCGGGAGGCGGGCCCGCACGTTCCTGGAGAGGGTCCGCGTCGGCGGCGCGCGCCGTGGGGCAGCCCTGCGTTCCCCGCGGTCCGCCTGTGCCGCTGACCCGGAGTCTCCGCGGGCGACGGCGCCCGGGACTTGACGCGCTAATAGATGCGTCCTTGGTCCTCTGAGTCGCCTTAGGACAATCAAATATGGAGCCTGGAGCTGCTCGTTTTGATTTGTTTTTTTTTTTTTTTCCCCATTGGAAATTGAGGCCTATTTCTGGAAACTTTCCTTCCGTACAAAACTACGAGCACACTCGGATCAGACCCTTCAAATTGAGAACGAGATTAGTGACCTCCGAGGGTTGGAAGTTCTACCTTTGTACTGGCCAGCGGCAGCCCTGGGAGCTGTCAGTTGCACTCTCAGTTCAGGGATCATCCCAGACTAGTCTGATCAAAATCCCCAGGGCACTTGTATCAAATTAAAGCTTGAGAGAACTTTTCTAAAAGCAAGGGAGAGCTTCTCTGCAAAAGATGTGGTTGTTTATTTTCGGGGTGCGGGGGGTACAGTGGGCCCCACCAAAATATAAGGATTTTTTTCCCTTTCCTTTGATGGTCCAAGAAAAATGAATCAGCATTTGCTGTCTTCCTGCTTAAAACCATTAGTTTTCTAAAATCAAGGTTAACCTTTGGTTAACCTCTAATATAAAATTATGTTATCAGATTTTCTTTAAATCAGTTGAGATAAAGAACTACTTCTTAGGGACTAATGAAGGACCCTTACAATAACAGCCCAAGTTGGAATGTGCCTACCAAAAAGGCATTTGGATTAGATGAGCTCTAACTGTTATAGGACAGGGAGAGGGGCAGCCCAACCCCTCTCCCTGTCCTATAACATAACTTTAGAGGGAGCTTCTAGTTTAATTCCACTTGTTCATGAGCACTTTTGATATTTGAACTTGGGTTAGATCCCATGGCATTTCTGACAATGTCGTCCATTCAGCTAATAATAATTAAGTGCCTGCTTTGTGCTTGGCATAGGATGCAATGGTTTTTTGATGGCACTGGTTTTACTCCCAAATTTTTTTAAAAACAAAAATTTCTTCCTAAGTATGTACCGTTATCTGCTAAAGTCTGCTTAAAGTTTGGAATTTATTTCATTCCTCTACTGTTAATCATACGTCAGTGATGGATTTCTCTCATATGAGTTTGGTGCCTTTAAATGTTTATAATTGATCTTTATTTTCCTGTAATCACCATTTAGTCAAACTGTTACTTGCCTAGTGTTTATAGTTCAAGCTGATGGACCTAATCCATGCTCCTTCCCTAATCCATTAAAATGACAGAAGCATTAAACATATTCCAAAGATACTATCAGTGGGCCAGAAATTGAAGAATTTCTGGAAGATATAAAACAAACCAGCAACATGAGATGATTGGAAAAATAATGAGAACAGAGAAAGCTGTTCTCCCACATAGAGGATGAAGAAATTCCTGGAGATGACATTTTACACAGCCTTGTTTAATAATGCAACATATTTTAGTGTACATCACATGCATCCTGTTCTGATTGAGATATTAAACTAGAATATAAACAATACATTCCTCCTACTTCTGTGGGGTATTGTAATTTTTCATAAACCATAATTAATGAGACTAATATAGATCTCAACATCATTGTTTCCAGAAGGACTTCATGTATATAGAGTTTTACAAAATATTTAACGTCTTGTTTGATTAAATAATGAAATAGTTTATCTTGTCTGAAATTGTGATCTTACTGTATACCTTCATCCATTTTTTTTTTTTTTTAAAGCATCGATGGAAAAGCACTAGCCTTAACAACCAGATCTGAATCCTACCCCTCAACGTCTGTGACATTTTGAGTATCAATCATTGGTAAATATTTTACAGTTCTTGATGAATATTGAGACTATTTCTGGAAAAAGCTGTTGAGTTGATTTAATTTTTTATT